AACCATTATTATCAAGGTGATAGATAATATTGACCCCGTGGTTATAAAGAACCAGAAACCAATATTATGGCGCTAAGAAAATTACAAGAATCCACTTGTAAAATCTCGAAGTTGCTGTAAGAGAAATAACTCCCAATATACTCAAATATTCATTAAAATTCGTCAATTAAAATAAGCCAAATTGGCAACTTACTTATAAGTGCTAAAAAACTCCCTTTTCACAAGGAAAATGACTCCTACCTAAACTATAATAAAGTAACATCTAATTAAACTAATTCTAACCATAAAAGGACTCTAAAATACCAAAATAATGTAAATCCTTAACAAAAACGTAATTCAATAAAATATAAACTCCAAACATCAAGACGATCACACGAACACTCTTCATAACTCGAGTAGACACTTGGATGTGCACGTGTGTTGACTTCAAGCTCGATTTATGACCTCTTCCACTCCATATATCTCTCGGATCACAACATAAAAGTTTTAGATATTCTAGTTGGCTTTCCGTATCAATTAGAATCTCCTAAATTTGACATTATATGAGAGAGTTATAACCCACATGGTAAAACTGCCAGAAATAGGCGAGAATCGCAGATGCATGGAATTTGACTAGTCCAATGAATTTTCTTTTTCTTTTCTTCCAATTTCAAACCATTAACTCTTCGACAGTCTCATTCAAACCTTTATTCTCCAAGGATAACTCGAATAGCCTCTCTAAACTCGTACGCTTGCGCTTCTTCCAATTCTTCATCCTTGAGCTTGTGCGGATCGTATCATACTACCATTCTTTAAAAGGATTTGTCCTCGAATCCGGACAGATATAAAAAGGAGCATATAGAAACGATCTTTCACGATCATCTTCAAACAGTTGCAGCTCATGTGGTCTAGAATACTCCAAAATTGATAAACTCAAGTTTTCCACCAAATTATTGCTAACAACATTAATAGAACCGCCTTCGTCTTCATGTATTGCATCACCATGTTCATCAACTTCAATAACGGAAGTTTGTGCTCTAGTTAGCTCGACATTAAGTTGGTTACATGGCTAGATTGTATCATCCTCCGTAACTTTGATGCATGGCTGGATCGTATCATTCTCCATCTCTTCAAAAGGATTCGCCCTCGAATCCGAACCTTCATTTTCTTCGATTGGTGGCGCGGGTTCGCAATTTTCTTCCCTCTTGGACTCAGCCTCAACATTCTCACTTACTTCTTCCTCAACTAGCGCATCAATAACTCCCAAATCTGTTTGAGTGTTCTCTTTCTTAAAAGCTTGATAAGCATCTTCTTTTTCAAGGGGCAATAAAGAATCACCCTTTCTCTTCAATTCCTCGTAGTCTCCTTTGTCTCGTAGAATTTCTTCTTCTTTGGGATTTTGTAAGGGTTCTATCGTTTGGCAGATCTCCTATGTGATTTCCAATTGGATGAACTCCTTTCTTCTAACTTAGTAACTTGCATCAAGCTATGCATCTTCATTTCCCTATAATAATGGGAAGGAACAAACCTCATTCTCATAACTGCCTTCATGGACTCCAAATCTTCAATTGGTGGTTCGCCACAACGCCGCTTCGTTAAGACAAATTGGTCCCACCAACTAATTTCATATTCAATGAACGCTTCGATGATGAGCTTCACTTTCTTCTTTTCGGAATAGTAATCACAATCGAATACGTGTTCAACCTTTCTTTCCCATTGAGTGTACGCCTCGAGATCACTCTTACCTTGAAAGGGTGGTATAATCAACTTCATTGAGCTACGATTTAGATCTACGCCATGTCTTTCTCGACCAAAATATCCTCGGCTCGATCTATCCAATCCAGACCATCATCCCATACTCCCCGTCCTTGATTTTGTAACATTCACACCAAAATTTCCATCACGCTCTACCTCTTTATCAGGATAAGGTATAACTGGTTGGTGAACATCACGTCGTACGTATGACCCTCGAACATGTTGTTGATCTTTGTGTAGTTCCTTTAGTTGGGTAACAATTCCTTCTATCCGATCTTGGAGTTCCTGGAAGCGTTTGTCCATTGGCGACATCATACGCTGCTCAATTCATTCTCCTTTATAACAGGCCTTCTCGGACATAATCAAAACAAATATTTTTTTTTCTTTTTTTTTTAACACTAATAAACCCTAACTTGGGCTAGAAGGAACTCTAAACAAGGACAAAATTCGAATATTTTTTTCTTTTTTCTTTTTTTTTGACACGAACAAACCTAACTTGGATGGAAATAAATCTAAACAAAAAATAAAAATTTGATATTTTTTTGTATATTTTGTTTTACGAAGACTCTAAATAACACAACTCAAGAAAAGATGAGATATACTAGAAGACACAACAAAAAATAAAGATAGGTGAAACCTGTTTTGGATGTTGGCTCTAGTTACCAACTGATACGAACCCCGTAGAACTTGTTACGAGACCCAATACCTTACGCGGAAGAAAGATCGAAAAACATCCAAAAACAAATGATTCAGATTGGCGGAAACAAGGAATAATGACCCCATAGCTATAAAGAGCTAGAAACCATTATTATCAAGGTGATATATAATATTGACCCCGTGGTTATAAATAACCAGAAACCAATATTATGGCGCTAAGAAAATTACAAGAATCCACTTGTAAAATCCCGAAGTTGCTGTAGAACAGCGAAAGAGAAATAACTCTCAATATACTCAAATATTCATTAAAATTCGTCCATTAAAATAATCCAAATTGGCAACTTATTTATAAGTGCTAAAAGACTCCATTTTCACAAGGAAAATGACTCCTACCTAAACTATAATCAAGTAACATCTAATTAAACTAATTCTAACCATAAATGGACTCTAAAATACCAAAATAATGCAAATCCTTAATAAAAACTTAATTCAATAAAATATAAACTCCAAACATCAAGTCGATCACACTAATACTCTTCATAACTCGAGTTGACACTTGGTTGTGCACGTATGTTGACTTCAAGCTCGATGTCTGACCTCTTCCACTCCAAATCTATCTTGGATCAAAACATCAAAGTTTTAGATATTCCAGTTGGCTTTCTGTAGCAATTAGAATGACCTAAATTGGACGTGATATGAGAGAGTTATAACCCACATGGTAAAACTGCCAGAAATATGCGAGAATCGCGGATGCATGGAATTTGGCTAGTCCGATGAATTTCCTTTTTCTTTTCTTCCAATTCCAAACTATTAACTCTTCAACAGTCTGATGCAAACCTTTATTCTCCAAGGATAACTCGAATAGCCTCTCCAAACTCGTACGCTTGCGCTTCTTCCAATTCTTTATCTTTGAGCTTGTGTGGATCGTGTCAGACAAGCTATGAACGTCCCGTACTTTGAAAAGCGATATATCACCATCATGATAGATGCGGACCCCTTGGACAAGGAAAGGCACTAATGAAGTCCATTGAGATTGACTCCCATGGTCGGTCGGGGATTAGGAATGATTCGAGTAACCCTGCCGGTTGCTTGTTTCCCACCTTGTATTGTTGGCATACAAGACAAGTCTTGACATAAACGTCAATGTTGTCCCGCATGTGAGGCCAAAAGTAGGCCGTCTCGAGTAACTCCATGGTTTTACCTTTGGCCCGGATGCCCTGTCCACTTGCTGTCGTGGCGTTCTTTGATGAGGTCCTTCCTCAAGCTTCCCTACTTCGAAACAAAGAGTCGTCGTCCCTTCGTGTAGAGTAGGCCGTCCTCTACCCAAAATTGCCTCGTCTTGCCCTCCTTGACGAGTCGAAATAGCTCGAGCCCTTCTCGGATCATATCGGCCAAGTTCCCCCTTGTTGAGCTAATAGTTGCGAGTTCGGCCTTTCTACTCAACGTGTCGGCCACAACGTTCGCCTTTCCCGGTTTTTACTCCAAGACGTAGTCAAACTCGGCCAGAAAGTCTTGCCACCGTGCTTGCTTTGGCGAGAGTTTCTTCTGCTTTTGGAAGTAGCTCGTGGCAACGTTGTTTGTCTTGACCACGAATGGCGCGCCTAATAGATAATCTCGCCACTCCCTCAAGCAATGGATGATGGCAGCCATCTCCTTCTCTTGGACCGTGTAGCACCACTCCATCTCGTTGCGCTTTCGGCTCTCAAAGGCGATCAGATGCCCCTCTTGCATCAAGGCCCCTCCAATGGCAAAGTTGGAAGCGTCCGTGTCTAACTCGAAGGACTTCCCAGTCTGGTAAGACGAGGACCGGCTCTTGACTTACTGCTGCCTTTAAGTCCTCGAATGTCCGTCGCCATGAGGCAAACCACTCCCACGCGTTTTTCTTCTTAAGCAAGTCGGTTAGTGGTGGCGCTCGTGCCGACTACCCTTTTATGACCGTCGGTAGTAATTTATTAAACCAAAAATGAATGAGTTCAGTTGCCTTTGTTGGCAGTTCCCACTCGGTGAAGCCTTGATCTTCGCTCCACCCATTTGGAGTTGCCCGTGCCCGATAATGTGTCCCAAGAATTGGACCTCCTCCTTGGCAAAATTGCACTTCTCCGTCACAAAGAGCTCGTTCTCCCAAACTACTTGGAAGACGGTGTGAAGGTGGTTGGCATGCTCCTCCATGGTGTCGCTATAAACGACGATGTTGTCTAGGTAGACTACTACGAACCGATCCAAGTATGGTTGGAAGATCTTATTCATGAGGGTGCAAAATGTTGTCGGGGCATTGGTTAACCCGAACGGAATGACGAGTAACTCGTAAGAATCATAAAAGGTGATGCATGTTGTCTTAGGCTCGTCCCCTTCGGCAATGCGGACTTGGTAATAGCTCTTTTTGCAAATCCATCTTCGTGTATATCTTGGCTTTATCAAGTCTATCGAACAAATCGACTATCAAGACAATGGGGAGGGGTGCTACTGATTTAAAAAAATAATAGCATTTACCAGTGAACTATGATTTTATTTGAAGAAGAATAAATCTTACCAACTAAACTAAAAATCTTACCAACCGAACGTATTTCTAGCCACTGGCCCCTAATATTTGGCCAATAGAACAAATTTAGCAGGAATCAAACTAGTCCTTATATGTACTATAATGGTTTTACAATAATTAATTAAATGTTCCGAAAATATTTTGAGGTCTACTTGAGCGAATTTATGCAAATTTTCCCAGAAGTTAAGAAGACCAATAACAAATAACACAAAAGTTTGGGCGTTAAATCAGAAATACGATTAGATGGGGGGTCATCGTGGAATATACATAATTTTGTAAAACTTCCCCTTTTCAATCTTTTAGTTTCATTTTACCCCTTATTTTTCTTTGAAAACGAATTTCACACTGAAAAACCCTTGAGAAATTGCTACCATACATGTTGGCGAAGGTGCCCCAGAATGAATTTCTACAAATATAGCTCCAAAAAATCGGTACGCGCTCTTGTTTTTTTCTTGAATTCAATTCCGTCTGCTTTGGAATTTTTTTTTGTGTGCTGAATTTTCGAATTTCCTAGCCTTGTATTCACCTTTCAAGGATTTATGAACGTTTGAATATGGAAATTTTTAATTTAGTTATTGGATCAGTTACTGATACATGAATTTCTGGCAATTTTCGTTGAAAGCAAATAGAAGCACAGAAAGGCAGCTATTTTGTGGTATATATAGATATATATAGTTTATATGTATGTAAGCATCTATGTATTTTTTTATTATGTTTATGATATATCATGTTATACTTTTCAAGGATAATCGATATTCTAAGTAGTTTTACGGTGGGCAGAAACGCTTCGTACTCTTGGTTCTGTACACTATTGCATAATTTACAGGGAAAAAAATGTAGTTTGTTGTACTAGTTGTAATTTTAATGAAAGTCGGAAGCACGTGTTCTGAAATACTGCAGATGCTATGGTGGATTTAGAGGACAATGTGGAAGGTGGTGAAGAAGGGATCGGTCTGAATATGGTTGATGTTGTAGATGCTGCAGAAACTAGGGATGGCCAGGTAAGCATCTGTCCGAAAAGAGATCATTCGGGGATTGATGGCGACAATTTCGAACCGCATGATGGCATTGAATTTGAGTCCCACGAGGCAGCATATTCATTTTATCAGGAGTATGCAAAGTCAATGGGGTTCACCACCTCTATCAAAAACAGCCGCCGTTCAAAGAAAACCAAAGAATTCATCGACGCCAAATTCGCTTGTTCAAGGTACGGTGTCACACCGGAATCAGAGAGCGGCGTTAGTAGAAGGCCGGGCGTAAAAAAGACAGATTGCAAAGCTAGTATGCACGTGAAGAGAAAACGAGAAGGGAAATGGTATATTCACGAATTTGTTAAGGAGCACAATCACGAGCTTTTGCCTGCCTTGGCTTATCATTTTCGTATCCATAGGAACATAAAATTAGCTGAAAAGAATAATATAGATATCCTACACGCGGTTAGTGAGCGGACAAGAAAAATGTATGTCGAGATGTCTAGACAATCCGGTGGTAGTACAAGTTCTTGCCTCAGCAAGAATGAGTTTGAGCACCAGTTCGACAGAGGGCGTTATTTGGCATTAGAAGAAGGGGATGCTCAAGTTATGCTCGAGTATTTTGTGCAAATCCAGAAAGAGAAACCTTCATTCTTTTATGCAATTGACTTGAATGAAGATCAGCGTGTGAGGAACTTGTTCTGGGTTGATGCGAAAAGCAGGAAAGATTATATAAGCTTCAGTGATGTGGTTTTCTTCGATACTAGTTATGTTAAAAGCAACGAGAAGATGCCTATTGCTCTGTTCCTCGGGGTGAACAATCATTTCCAGCCTATGCTGCTTGGATGTGCGTTATTAGCCGATGAAACGAAACCAACGTTTGTTTGGTTAATGAAGACATGGCTCAGAGCAATGGGTGGGCAAGCTCCGAAAGCTATAATCAGTGATCAAGATAAACAGTTGAAATCAGCTATGGAAGAAGTTTTCCCGTATTCGTACCATTGCTTTGCTCTTTGGCATATATTGGAAAGGTTACCTGAAACTCTTGGTCATGTACTCAGACAACATGAGAATTTTATGAAAAAATTCAACAAGTGTATATTCAAATCTTTGACAGACGAAGAGTTTGACATGAGGTGGTGGAAGATGGTCAGCCGATTTGAATTACAAGAAAATGAATGGATTCATTCACTGTATGTCGACCGCAAAAAATGGGTTCCCACCTTCATGAGAGACACGTTTTTGGCTGGGCTATCCACATCTCAGCGATCTGAAAGTGTGAACTCCGTCTTTGACAAATACATTCACAAAAAGATAAATTTGAAAGAGTTTGTGAGACAATACGGTGCAATACTTCAGAATAGGTACGAAGAGGAAGACATGGCGGACTTTGATACATGGCACAAACAGCCAGCACTTAAATCACCTTCTCCTTGGGAAAAGCAAATGTCGACGATTTACACGCACGCAATTTTCAGAAAATTCCAAATTGAAGTCTTGGGTGTGGTAGGATGCCATCCCAAGAAGGAAAAGGAAAATGGAGGCAATGTTGTTTTTCGGGTTGACGACTGTGAGAAAACTGAAAAGTTTGTGGTTACATGGAACGAAGCAAAGTCTGAGGTTTCTTGTTCATGTCTAATGTTTGAATATAAAGGTTTTCTGTGCAGACATTCGATGATTGTCCTCCAAATATGCGGTCTTTCTAGTATCCCGTCGCAATATATCCTCAAGAGATGGACGAAAGATGCAAAAAACCGGCAAGCAGTGGTGGATGGAACTGAAAGAATCCAAACTAGGGTGCAGAGGTACAATGATCTGTGCAAGCGTGCTATCGACTTAGGAGAAGAAGGTTCCTTGTCTGAAGAGAATTACCATATTGCTTGCCGTGCTTTAGTTGAAGCTCTGAAGAGCAGTGTGAATATTAATAACAGAACTGCCATAGAATGTAGTAGTAATAACTCCGTCGCACTTCGTTCTACTGAAGAGGAGAACCAGGTGATCCAAGCTGCCAAAACAAACAAGAAGAAGATCACAAACAAGAAAAGAAAGGTTCGATACGCGTAAACTCGGTTTTCAATATTTTTGTTCACTTTATTTATGTCCATCTTTGGCTCCCTAAAGAATTTTTGAGTTATGTTTCTCTCTCAGTTACAGCCAGAGCCAGAAGCAGTTGGTATTGACACACAAGACAGTTTACAACAAATGGTTAGTTATGGCGATAAAATTTTGTTTAGATTGCATCGAGTTTTACCTTTTTCCTTTCAGCTCTCACAATGATCACCAAACTATCGGCATGATTTGGGAGATTCTGATATGCTAGAAAGGAATTAATTTGATTTATTATTTTAAGTTTTTCAAAGAGCTAAAATTTAAATAATATTTTTTCGTCCCCATAGGAACATCTGAGCTCGGAGGGAATTCCCTTAAATGGATACTATGGATCACAACAAAATGTGCATGGACTGGTATGGATTTGTGTGATAACGATGTGTAAAAACGATGATGCATTATAATTTATAACTGACCCCGTTATGATTGATCCAGTTAAATTTGATGGAGCCACCGAATGATGCTTACTATGTCGGTCAACAGACTATGCCGGGGCTGGTGTGTCATCCTGACTTTCTTTTGAACCTATTCATGTACGCGTTAAATAAATTATCGGAGTAAATGTCGTCTGTGACTTTTTATTGTAGGGACAATTGAACTCCCTTGCTTCTAGCCATGATAACTTTTACGGGACTCAACAAAGCATGTCTGGACTGGTAGTGTAGTCTATTACATCTTATAATTCTTACAGTCTCGTCTTGAACGGTTCAGTTTCGTATAAAATCTTTGATGACCAATTTGGCTTTTTTTTTGAATCCTATTTATTCAGGGCCATCTCGATTTTAGACAACCACCTTTCAATTATGGCATTCAGGTCAGTTTTAGCAATAAATTATTTTGAAGTAAATCATTACTTTGTGAAGTTTCAGTTTCATTATCTCATATATAACTCTTGTTTTGCACGAAATTAAGGACGAGCATAACGCGAGACCGCCACAGTTGCACGGCACTGCTAGAAATGTTTGACGAGTTCCACGTATCTGACCGGGTTTTGCTTGATGTGCAATATGTAGATAAACTACTAGACCAACGAGCAGATGCACAGAAGTTTTTTTTTTTTTTTTTTTTTTAACGTATATATATTTGTAAGCCCAACTCTTAGTTTTCTCCCGAGATTTTATCCATTATTCGTTATTTTAGCAGGTTAGCTGTCCGAAATACTATGAAGGATCTTGTAACATAATCCAAGAGTATCATTATATTCTGAATCTACTAATTGAAAATCGTTGCCTCTGTAGTGTAAAAACATGGCCTTGCATTTCTCATCTTAAATTGTATTTTCGATATTGGGATCATTGTTTAGGAAATGAGTCGTGTTCTAAATATGCAGGCGCTTTTTTAGCTAACTTTTTCTTACCCGTTCTTTGATATCACATGCTGTGTTCTTCTCGATGCCTTTAGCTCGTCACAAAAGTATTTTTATGCATGTTTTAGATTCTTATCTATTATACTTTCAGTCATCTTTTGTTTGATATTAAGAGTGGTGTTAGTAAAAACTTCCATACTATGATTTTTAGTGTTAGCAAATATATCCTTAGCAAATCATACTATGGAAGTTTTATAAAACTGATTTACTTCAAAATAGATAAATATTAAAAAGCTCATAATCACTCTGAAAAAGTGTTTGCAGACACCACATTAGTTGTTTACGCTATAATTTCAAACCGCCTATAACAGTTTTTATAATCTAAAACATTTCTAAATTGAATTTTGGACATTTAGCAACGTTACTTTTATTTAAGGATAATTACCTCCACCCACCATTTTATTACAAATATACTGGTTGGGCATTTGAGAATAATTACAACTTTGGTCCCTATATTATACAATTTTTTTTTTTAATTTTGGCCTTTTTCCGGCATGTAGCAATGCACTTCTTAAAATGTGGATGAAAATTGTAAAAAAAATTGGTTATTTGATGACCAATTTCGTACCAGAAGAAATTTAAGGACCAATATTAAAAAAAAGATCGTATAATATAGAGACCAAAATTGTAATTATCTTGGCATTTGATATGAATATTGTAGCATGTAACAAAAAATTAAACAAGTGAGGGTATTATTCCTAAATCAGTAAAAAGTTGGGGATAAAAAGTAAAATAAAGTTTCTAGCAAAGGGAGACTTTTCTTTTTGGTGTAAAAAGAAAGTGAAGTATTGAACATTTTGGAATAATATTTTGTCCATTACTGATATATTCACTTTAATGTTCTTTTTAATTTTTTTATGTAGGAGTTGTTACCTTTCTTGATTTTTTAAAGATAACCAAAGAAAAAAGTGTTGTTATTTTTCACTTTTTTCGCCCCCCATTTTGCCATCTAATTATTAAAAGGGCATATTACAAATAAGCCCATCAGTGGGAACTTATTCATAAAGAGATCCAGACAATATTCTCCTTTACCAATAAGTCCACACATGGTCCAGATTTATGTAAAGGACTAAAATAACCCCTCTTACTTTTATATGCTCCAATTTCATCCTTAACTTAATTTAACTTCAATTTGACCCCAAATTTCACAAATTATTCAATTTTGACCCAAAACTTTTTTTTTCAAAAACTTTTTTTTTCCCGCCGGATTCCGGCGTTGACTTTTTTTTTTTTTTTTTTTTTCTTCCGGATTTTTTTTTTCCGGATTCCGGCGTTGACCGGCGGTCAACGCCGGTCTCCGGCGGTCAACGCCGGTCTCCGGCGTTGACTTTTTAATTTTTTTTTTTTTTTTTCCTTTCTTCCGGATTTTTTTTCCGGATTCCGGCGTTGACCGGCGGTAAACACCGGTCTCCGGCGTTGACTTTTTTTTATTTTTTTTTTTAATTTTTTTTTCTGTAACTTTTTTTTCCGTTTAAACAACAATATTGCTTTGAATGACAGTAATATTAACTATATTACTGTTAAACACAGTAAAATTAACTAAACTATAGTTTAACACAGTGATATTGCTATATTAATCTCTAGCACATTAATATTAACACAACAAAATTCATTATTATTGTATAATAAAGTAATATTACTATGTTGTCCGTTCAACAAATGTAAACAAAAAAAAAAAAAAAAAACCAAAAGAATTAATATTACTGTGAGTGACAATAATATTACTATAGCAACAGTAATATTACTATAGCAACAGTAATATTACAATAGTAGACAGTAATATTATTACGTTACTCCGTGAATAACTCAAACAAACAAAAAATCCAAACAAAATAATAATATTGATGTGGTTGACAGGAATATTACTATAACAAACAGTAATATTACCGTCAACCACAGTAATATTATTGTGTTTACAGTAATATTACAATAATAGACAGTAATATTAATACGTTACTCCGTGAATAACTCAAACAAAACAAACACCCCAAAAAAATAATAATATTGATGTTGTTGACAGTAATATTATTGTGTTTACAGTTATTTTACTGTCAACGACAGTAATATAATTACGTTGACTTGTCAACAAATCAAAAAAAATAAAAAAAAAATAATAATAAATAAAAAAATATAATATTGCATTAATTTACTGTCAACGGCAGCACAATTACATAAATGTAATGTCAACAGCAGTACAATTACGTTAATTGACTATCATTGACAGTATAATTACGTTAATTTACTGTCAGTGACAGCACAATTACGGTCAACGTTTAGCGGCGGACGTGGAAAAACAAAACAAACCAAACAAAAAAAAAACTTAAAAAAACACTAAAAAAAGAGACCGCCGGAAACCGGCGAAAAAATCCGGAAGAAAAGAAAAGAAAAAAAAAAAGAAAAAAGCAAAAAAAAAAAAAAAAAAAAAAGTCAACGCCGGAGACCGGCGTTGACCGCCGGTCAACGCTGGAAACCGGCGAAAAATCCGGAAGAAAGGAAAAAAAAAAAAATTAGAAAAGTCAACGCCGGAGACCGGCGTTGACCGCCGGTCAACGCCGGAATCCGGCGGCAAAAAAAAAGTTTTTGAAAAAAAAAAAGTTTTGGGTCAAAATTTAATAATTTGTGAAATTTGGGGTCAAATTGAGATTAAATTAAGTTAAAGATGAAATTGGAGCATATTAAATTATACTCCAAAAAAAAGTCAAAATTGAATTTTTGTGGTCAAAATTGAACTTTTATGGACAAAATTGATTAATTTGGATTACAATTAAGAATTGTGTATAAATGGTTGAGGGTGGTAATATTGGGATATACATGAATGTTTCCTTTAGTTATAATAAATATTAAAGGGATGGGCTTATTGGTGAAAGAGATATGTCCCCTAAACCTAGAATAATAAACATGCTTGGTTGGGGACTTTTGCATAAAAATCCCTTATTAAAACTGGTACAAAATTAGTATTTAAACATAATACATAAAATTTGTAAGAAAATAAGTTGATTATGGATCTCTATGATAACAAAGCATTCAACTTACTTTCGTTTAATATTAATTTAGTTCAATTAATATTTTTGAAACTCAATAACAAATTTAGACTGAAGTTCTACAAAAAAAAAAAAATTTAAGCCAGCTTGATTTGTCTATAATTGCTTCACCAATTATGGCTACAACCAAAAAGTAACATTTTAATTGATGAATTGCAAGGAAAACTTGGTTAGTTTTTGTCTTGTGCATATCTATTAGTTATCCATATTCCACTTAGGATTTTTTATGAGAAGGTTCATGACCACCAACCTTTGTTAATTTGAGTTATGATAAAATTATCCACAATCCTTTAAATTCAATTATTAATTGTAAAACTTAATTTAACTCAAATTTCACAAATATAACCTCGAAAATCTAATTTTGACTTTCTTTCTTTCTTCTTTTCAAGCTTTTTTGTCTCTAGTTTATTTTTTCCGCAAGAGATAGATTGTAAACGCTGGTTTCCGACGTTGACTTTATTTTTTTTTATCTATTTTTTATATATATTTTTTTATTTCTTACCGTTGATCGGTGGTGAACTCCAGTCATCATAGTAATTTGTGAAAAACGTCAATATTATTGTTTAGTACAATAATATTATTATGCTTGAGAATAGTATTACTGTGTTGTTTACTAAAATATTTTAATTTATATTTTCATTTAGTTAATAAAATTCGTCTCACGTACTCATCATCTCCATTATCAACATTTATGTTCATCGCTTACAAACACACCCCCGCGGAAAACCTATACGAATTCAATCTCAACTCCCAAAATATATGGCCAATCTTCTCCGTCTACTTTTGTTGTGTATAGCGGTGAATTTGTCGGAGTTGGCAAAAGAAGTTGGATTGCCACTCTTAGAGGTGAACTCGTCGGATCTCCACCACACCATCAGTGGTGAACTCGCCAGATCTCCACCACATCGCCACCAGTTTGAACTCGTTGGATCTCCACTACACCGACGCCATCAGTGGTGATCTCGACGAGTCTCCACCACAGTCATCAAAATTCAGTCAAAAAATATCAGTAAAATTAAGATCATCCCCATACTAGGAAGATCCATCTTTTGTCCAAAATTAAGACTTATCTCATAATTAATTTATTGCCTAAAATTAGGATTTTATTTAGGGTAAATTTCACTTTTCACTCCTTGCACGTTGTCTTGGTATCACTTTATTTCCCTTCTACTCTCGATTGCATCGATTTGCCATCTGTACTTGAAAAATTGTATCAATGTGGCCATCGTCGTTAGTTGTCTTACATTTGACATTAACAGCGTTTGATCTAAGCTCCGAAATTACAAAAATGCCGCCTCTCCCAGTTTAAATAATTATTAAAAAACAAAAAAATAAAACAAAAAAAATAAAAAATTTAAGGCAACAAGAAAACATAGTCCACGACGCCAGCCACAATTTATTTTTAAATTTTTAATTTTTTTTATTAATTATTTAAATTGGGAGGGGTGACTTTTTTGTAATTTTCAGACTTAGATCAAACGGTGTTAATGCCAAAGGTCTGAAAACTAACGGTCATGGGCCTCATGGCCACATTGAGACCATTTTTCAAGTGCAGAGGGACAAATCAATGCAACCGATAATAGAAGGGAGTAAAGTGATATCGAGCCGAAGTACAAGAGGAGAAAATAGAATTTACCCCTTCATTTACTTATGAGCTTCTTTTGTCTTTTGACGAACTCAATTTTGAGGAAGGAGAGATGCGTAAAGAAGAACTCATATTGGGGCAAAGAAAAAAGTAAACAAGAATATATATATAACACTAATAAGGGTAAATAAGTAATTTCCCCCCAAAATTAATAGAGTTATTTTTTTAACGTTTGACTAGAAAAGGTAGGGGGCTAATTGTTACGTTTTGTAATTCAGGGAATCTTTGATACATAGCTTATAATTCAGGGGTGCAAACTGAATTTTCGCCTAATATATATGTACTCAATTTCAAAAGTTCTCCATCATATTACATTAAAATATCCACTTTATAACAAATCACTGCCATAGTATATCAATACTCACTTTATTTCAGCCAATTTTGGGAAGTTCTGTGTTGATGACATTCATAAGTTTATTGCTATATATTTTGTTAAGATACTCAATTTTCAAAAGTTTAATATCATTTCCAATACATTTATTATCATATTTATCTAGTTTACTGTCATTTTGTGTGTAGTGATAAAAAAAATTATAAAATCCTATTAAAACTGAAAAATAGAATTGTTAGTGTAAAAATACGAGAAATTACCAAACAATGGCAAAAAATAGTTAACCTTAGACCTACCAGAACTTAAAATTTAAGAACAATCAATTCACATAATTCGATTTTGAATTTCTTGCTAAAAGCTACTCCCTCTGTTCCATAATAACTGTCTATTTTTAAAAGTATTTTTGTTCCATATTATCTGTCACTTTAGATTTCTAATATTGCATTAAATGCATTTTTTTTTCCTATTTTAACTTTATTAATTCAACTATAAGTATTAACTCTCTCTTATCACATCATTAAATAATTAAGGTTATTTTAGTCCTTTTAATATATTTTACCTAAAATCAAGATACATTTATTGAGCTTCTTAATACTTGTGCATAGCAAAAAACGAATTTTTAATAGGGAACGGAGGAAGTATATTACTATTTCAAATATTTATAAAAAAGAATAAAAATAACACGCACTTTGAGGCCTATAAAATGTTGGATCACAAAAATCCTATGTGCTATAGGAAAGGATAAGGTAATTTAAAAGATACTGAGTTTTTTTTTTTTTTTTTTTTTTTTTTCTTTTTATTCAATTCATCATATTGTCTTACATAAGTTTGATCGCATTTCCGTTAAAATGATGAAGTAAATGATAATTATTCTTGAACATGTTAGAAAAATAGTCTAAAGTCTTAATTTGAGCATATAAACTTTTAACTAAGAGAAATATCAGTGTCTCTTTTAATTTATTTTAATAGAATATTAGTGGTGCAAGTTTTTCACACGCAATGATCCTTCCTAAACACGTCTTTTTTATACGTCGCAAAGATTGGCTGACACCAGAATTTAGGGCCGAGAGAGACACCTTAACAATTAGAACACAACAGAAAGACGATTTAGGAAGAATGAGTATGCATTTTGTTAATGTGTATTCATAACCCTAATTATCAACCTTACGATTATATATAGATTATATATAGTGGACCTAAAGATAGATATTCAATCTTTAGGTCTCTCTTATTTTGATCTAGATTCATCATAAATATTACTTGCTCATACAAACATATTTTCGGAATTTCCGTTTCGAATATACTTTGATATGCTCGCCATCCATCTTGGTGGTGTCATCCTTAACGCGCACATATTAGCGACGTATAGCCGTCTCTTCCCGCCGTGCGAACCGTAGATAATCGAACACACAAAATACGAACTTTTCTTGTAGATTGTCTCTACCCATTTCCATTGACCTTTGTTGGACCCTCGATCCAATACCCTCGTCTTGGCCCGGACAATTCACCCTTCCTCCACAATCCAACCCGTTTAACCAAGTTAGATCCATGTTTGCCGAACTAGTCCCCATCAAACACGAACTAGTATATTTGAATATTTAAAAATAATTAATGAAATAGTTAATTTACAGAGCAACTAAATATTTCACCTACAATGAATTTTACCGAAATTAATATCTATCTGCAAAATAGAATCTAATAAATTACATTGATTGATTATTCATTAAAGTTGGAGTAGAAAACTGAAACAGACATTTCCAACCACAAGTCAACAAAAATTCTGACGCCAGAATGCAAATCGCGAGGGTGGAAAAAAACACGTGGACAGCATCTCCACCGTTGGTACAACACCACCATTAAATACCTGAAAATATTTAGAAACGGTCGATTAAATGTGGGTCCCATAGAAAATGGGACCACGTGCAAAAAGTAGAGCAAATGGGACCCACAAACATCCCTCGATCCCTTCAATAACCAAACCTCCATTATACGATTTTGGTCTCACACTCTGCACACTGCACACACCTCACAGCAAACCACACCCCTTCACTCTTCTTCACTTCACTCTCTCTCTAGAACAAATTAGAAAAAAATAGGAAAAGTGGGGGGTTTTTAGAGAGAGAGAAATGGAGGTTATCAAAATTCCAATGCTTCTTCTACTCTTGGTCGTCGTCTTCTTCTTCTCGTCCAATGCAGGTAACTCTTTCTCTTCTCTCTCTCTCTCACACTAACAGTGTGTATTGTGTGTGAGAGAGAAGGTTGCATTTGATTTGAGAAATTGCATATTCAGATAGATTCTTCATGAATTTTGATTTTTATTTATTTATATATAATTAATGTAGATGGTGGCGCAATCGGAGTGAACTACGGGAGAATAGCGAACAATCTCCCATCGGCAACAAAAGTAGTGCAGCTTCTGAAATCACAGGGCTTGGATCGGGTCAAGGTCTACGACTCCGACCCGGCTGTTCTCCATGCCTTATCCGGTTCGGGTATTAAGGTCACCGTCAATCTCCCCAACGAGCTTCTCTCCTCCGCCGCCCGCCGCCCATCCTTCGCCTACTCCTGGGTCTTCAAAAATGTCGCCGCCTACCATCCCGCCACCGCCATTGAAGCAATCGCCGTCGGCAATGAGGTCTTCGTGGACGGCCACAACACCACCGGTTTCCTAATTCCGGCCATGTACAACATCCACCAAGCGCTCGTCAAGTACAACCTGCACACCGCCGTAAAGGTGTCGTCACCCGTCGCACTCAGCGCTCTGCAGAACTCGTACCCGTCGTCGGCCGGTTCGTTCCGGCCCAATTTGATCGAACCGGTTTTCAAACCCATGCTCGAGTTCCTCCGCAAAACCGGATCCTCGCTCATGGTCAATGTCTACCCGTTCTTCGCATACGAGTCCAACGCCGACGTCATCCCACTCGATTACGCGCTTTTCCGGCAGAATCCCGGCGTCGTCGACGCCGGCAACGGGCTGAGGTACTTCTCCCTCTTCGACGCCCAAATCGACGCCGTTTTCGCGGCAATGTCGGCGTTGAAATACGACGACGTACCAGTCATCGTCAGCGAAACCGGATGGCCGTCAAAGGGGGACAAAAATGAAGTCGGCGCAACCGTGGAAAACGCCGCCGCCTACAACGGGAATCTAGTCCGCCGCGTGCTCGGCGGCGGCGGGACACCACTACGGCCGAAAGCAGATCTAACGGTCTATCTCTTCGCGCTATTCAACGAGAACAAGAAGGTGGGGCCCACGTCGGAGAGGAACTTCGGGCTATTCTACCCAGACCAGAAGAAGGTGTACGACATTCCGCTGACGGCGGAGGGTCTGAGAGGGTTAGGGGAGAAGACGACGCCGGTGAGCGGCGGAGAGCAGAGGATGGCGACGGCGAGTGGGGAGACGTGGTGCGTGGCGAAGGAGGAGGCGGGGAAGGATAAGCTGCAGGAGGGTCTAGATTACGCGTGTGGGGAAGGAGGCGCTGACTGCCATCCGATCCAACCAGGGTCCACGTGTTTCGATCCTAACACACTTGAGGCCCACGCTTCATTTGCATTCAATAGTTATTTCCAGAAGAAAGGACGTGCCATTGGGACTTGCTTTTTTGGCGGGGCCGCTTATATTGTTACCCAAAAGCCCAGTGAGTACTCTTACTATTTACCCTTCTGCCATTTACTTATGTTGACAATAATAGTTCAGTGGGCCGGGCCAGCACAAACAAACAAAAATACAATGTGCACAATAATTTTGGTCCATTTTAGAGTCAAATTAGACAGATAGACCAGTACATTAATAATTCAGTATGTGCATATATCATAAATTATTTATTTATGTACATATAATATTATTATTTTTTATATAATAATAAAGTTTTAGTCTAGGTTAAAGATTGGCTTTTAGAGGGAAGTGGGCAACATGTGGGGAGGTGTATCATGAATGAAGAGGAGGCCCACAATTGACCTGGAAATTTTGTTATTGAGGGACAACCAAAAATAATTAACAATATACTATAAATAACACAAAATAATAGAGAGTTTTAACATTTTCTGACTATATGTTCTTTTAAATGTTCATCAAGTTTAAAAGAACACACACTAGTGCTTTGGCAATTTCTTTTAAAATCGTCGATGCTTTTGGCAATTTGCCGTAGATTTTTGAAAAATCTTTTCGAATTATGTGTTCTTTCTCTAATTGTTGCTTTTGATTATGTAGGTTGTTATGTGTAGATCCACACATGTGAATAAATATGCGTCTTTAACCACCAATATATAGCTAGTGTTTGCTCCTTTAGGTGCAGACGTGTGCGTAGTAGCATTTGACAATTAAAAGTCGATTGTGTCCTCGGGCCAAAATGAGAATGAACATAGTTATTCGTTTTTTCCGTTTACATTATCTTTCTAAATCTAGAGATTTGGTGCGTGTTATACAAAGACATTAATCCTATATATCGGGTCTTCGGATATGGAGTTTTAGGCTGCCATGATTACTCGGATGCTAGTATAATAAGGTCTTTCTAGATGCTACATTGGGAGTATGCATGCTATGTGAAAGTACAACGTTAGGTGTGTATTACGCGGAAGTACGCATGATATAAAAACTCGAATGATGTTTTCTATCACATGATCATATCAATATATTTTCGTTCTAAAATGTTTGAAACTGGACACGATGACAGTAGTAGAGACTATATAGTTGCAAACGGAAACTTAGCTCTTATTATATTGTATATTTACTTCTCGTTTCTGCCCTTATAGAGTACGGCAAATGTGAGTTCCCCTTTGGAAGTTGAAGAGAATGATGGAGTGGGGATGCAATGAAGAAAAATCAAGATAAAGAGCTCAAAATTAATCTATTGTAAAATTTTCTTTTGTTGTTTCTTGAGGGTTGGTTGGTTACTCCTTTGTGTATTTATAATTACTAGTAGTTGTAGTTCTAGTAGAGTAAGTGCCCAATTAATTGGACTTGCCTAATTAATTTGTTTCAAAGTAGCTTATTATATCAATGCCGCCTCTGTTTTTGTTACTTCAATTTCATTCAACTTTTTGGCTAGTTACTTTTATATGTTCAAATACTATGGACATACCCGAGTGAGTGGAAATTAGATTCTACACCCGTTTTACAGTTTACACAGGGTGATTGTTAACTGTAGATCTGCACGTAATTAAAATACACATACACGTGTACATGTGTTTAAGTGGGAGGTTATTTAACCCCATTTAAGGTTAACAATAACTCGGTGTAGCATCGAACTCCCTCCGAGTGAGTAATAAATAAACCATACAAGGTACACATCAAACTGCTCATAACTTTTAAAGTAGACATGCTCTTGGTCGACCGTGTCATATTCTCATAATCGACACGTTAACTATGGACGGATTAATTGTAACTGAATCATTGTTCGGGCACATGAACATTGCTCATCACATTATGAATCAATCTGTTGAGAGAAATGTAAGAAGATCCACCTTCCACCACACTCAACTTGCTCTTCTCACTCATCTCTTCCACTCTCTTCCTCACCTCACTCCCTCTGCCACTCTCCTCCATCAATTCCCGTATCCCCCTCTCGATTTCCGCCGCCATAACCACACTCTTCCTCTCGTCATAGCTCAGAGTAATGACCACCGCCAATCCCAACTCCCTCGCCAGCTGGAACGCATTCATCTCCTGCTCCGCATGCAACGGCCACGTAGCGATTGGCACCCCGCACCACAGGCTCTCCAGCACCGAGTTCCATCCGCAGTGCGACACGAAACCCCCAACCGACCGGTGCGAGAGCAACTCCAGCTGTGGGACCCACCCCACCACCTTCCCCTTTTCGGCCGTCCTGTCGAGGAACCCGTCTGGCAGAACTCCTCTCAATGCGTCGTGGCCGCCGTACTCGCTCGGAAACTTCGCCTCCTCGCCCTCCGGCGACTGTCGCCGGAGGGACCAGATGAAGCGTTGTCCGCTCCGCTCGAGCCCTACCGCCAGCTGGCGCACCTGGTCCTCGTGCAGACTCCCCTGGCTCCCAAAGCAGAGGAGCACCACCGAGGACGGTGGTTGCTTCTCTAGCCATTCCATTATTATTACTTCCGATGAGGGGCTCGACCGGCTGTGCCTATGATGATTCATAATTGGACCTATGGGGTAAACCGGGGGGATATTGCCTCCATCCCCGTATGCTGAGTCAAGTGAAAACGAGTCGAGCGCGTGCGATTCTAGCTCGGTGAAGGTGTTGACGATTATGCCCTTGGCTCGTCTATAGTCTCGAGCGTGGTGAAGGAATCTCTCGAGCCAGATTTGCTTGTCCACAAGAACCATAGACAGGACTTGAGGTGGGACCGGTTTGGCGAAACTCGGGATGTGTACGTCGGAATCTGCATTCCTCAGCTCGGCCACGTCCATGCTCTGCTGGTCGTGGAGGGTCTGACAATGGAGCATGGCACCCAAGAAACTCGCCGGAGAAGTGAAGAAGACATAGCTAGGGAGGCCGACATCCTCCGCCACCCCCATCATCGTGGTGCACAACATGTCCACCACCACGCCGGCGATTCTTCTCCGGCGAGAACGGAGGAAATCCGAAACATTTGATTTCTGGCTCTGTACGAGGTTATGCATGAAGTATCCGCGCGTTCTGCTGCTCCATTCGGCCGGGATCGGATCGGTTGTTGGGAGGAGGAAGAAGTTGAGGCCTGAGCTGGCGGCGGCACCGGTGGTGGAGGAGGAAGCAGAGAGTGAGTCAGCAAATGAGCTGCTCACGGTGTCGATATAATCAGGGAGCTTGATCACGAGCACCGTGACTGAAAGAGTTCTACCTGTTTTTAAAACAAGATAAGAGATAATTGAACTTCTATGGAAATTATACTACAAACTCCAACAAGATTAACTAACTCTTTCGGGACGGGGCGAAGGTTTTCGTCTTTTGGTACCGGATTAACTAACTCCGGAACATTTGGACTTGTTTTGTGGTGGGCCAAACTTATTCAAATATGAGTTGTTTCCAGCTCACCTCGTTTATGGATTTGAATAAGTTAATTATTACTCGTAGTCATAAACAAGTGCTAATTAACTTTATTTCAAATCAACTATACATGACTTTTGAATTATTCTTTTGGTTACATATTGTCTCACTTTTGAATAACAATATTGCATTAATTATTTTTGTTTCAATTTTTGCACTTATTACTTATAAGTTATTTCATTTCACATTCATAAAATGAGTTATATAATGTATAAAATGAAACACTTGTATATGTTCATTAGTTATTTTAATGCATGATTCCGAAAACTTAAACGACGATATTAATTTGAAACGAATGAAGTATTTAAGGTAGCTAGGAAGGGCTCGAATCCTAGATTTATCTTCTACCAATTTCACACTTCGTCCTAACAAGTAAAAAAATCTTGCTCAAATAGGAATATATACAGAAATTTTAAGTGCTAAAAAATTATTCTAAGAAACTAAAATATTAATACCAAACTAAATGAGTTAATTTATCAATATAATGAAAAATATTATATACATACCAAGAGGAAGAAGGTGGTTTTGACGGTGGATGATGAGCTTGGCAAACTCGATTATTTGGACGTGGCCCATCACTGGCCATGGGATCAAAACCAGTTGCATATCAGTTGATTCCTCCTCCATCTCCAATTCTCTCTCTCTCTCTCTAAGTTTTTGTTTCTCTCTCCTTCTTATAGTTGATAATATATAGAAGAGAGACAATGAGAAATTATATAGAATGATGAAAAGGGATGGCCATATTTGGGTTATTTTCATTTAGCTCCTTTGAGATTTCATATTTTCGCAAAGTGCTCCCCTGAATTTTGCATTTTAAATTAATGCATATCATTTAATTTAGTTGTTGACCAATGACCATGGTCGGTTCTTTTGAAAATATATTAGAGGAAATCCCTCCCTTTTTTCACTCTTTTGACTAAAACCCAAGTTTTTGATCGCTTACATGAAGTGACCATTTTACCCTTTTAGTTTGCCCTAAGCCCTCTAAAACTCTGCCGTTCACACGCCACAATCGTTTTCTCTCTCTCTCTCGCCAGATCCAATCCAGCGTCTCACGTCTTCTCTCTTCCTGGGCAAAACACAGCTCTGCCCTTCTCTTCGTTCACTACCGTACCGTCGCTGACGCCCTCCGCCGCCTCTCTCCCTCTCTTCGTGCACCACCGTCGCCAACGCCCTCCACCGCTTCGTGCCCTCTCTTCGTCCACCGCCGTCGCCGACGCCCTCGCCACCATCAAATCGTCGAGCAAGGACGCTTTGCCCAAGTTTCCGACTCCGATCTCTTCGTCTATTACTACAGGCCCTGCGGCTCCTATGTCCTTTCACCGGTAATTTTATTTAACCTTAAACTCCCATTTTTTTTCTATTACATGAATTATTTTCATCTTTTGACTTTCAACTCCACTTCTGAATAAATTTGTTCGATTGTGGATGTTCCATATTTTTTTTATTTGTTTGTTTGAGTTGTTATTCGACTCAACTGATATTTGTTTCGTGTTTCATCGAGTTATTTGTATGTGTGTTTTTTAGTGGGTAATGTTGATTATTGTTTCAATAATGTTGATTACTGTTTCAATACTGATTAATGTTGATTACCGATTAGAGTCGAATATAAAAGTCAACAATAATAAGTTGATTACCCACTCTAGCATAAATATGTTATAGTGATTTATCCCCACTCTTCTACCTCTATTGAAAGACACGGACTCTCAACACTTGAATTTGGTAAATACCATTGTACATGTTCTTGGAGCCTTTATGGCTTACAACAACCCAACTGTTGCTCTTTTTCGAGATTTGGGTGGTCTAAATGATATCATATCCAGTGGCGGATGTAGCCATGGTCTAGGGTGTGCAGTTGCACACCCTTGATTTTCACTAAATATTACTATTATACATAAAATAACAGAAAAGGTAGTTGGTTGAAGTGTAGTTGGTTGAAGTGGTAAAGATATGTCTTTTTCTATTAACAGGTCATGGGTTCGAAACCCACCCTCACAATAATGGAATTTTTTTGAAATCTTAACATTTTTCAACTTTTTGGTCTTTAAATATTTCCACAATTCACCTAAAATTTATAAATTATAAATTTTTGGTCCACTATTTTTGAAATCTTAACATTTTTCAACTTTTTGGTCTTTAAATATTTCCACAATTCACCTAAAATTTATAAATTATAAATTTTTGGTCCACTATTTTTATAAAGTGATATTTTAATTTTTTATTCTACAATTTCGAACCCCCTTGGCAAAAATCTTGGATCCGCCACTGATCATATCACACCTAATGCTAGACACCTCGTGTATGGTTCCGTATATTTTGAATATATATGAAGATTTAACTATAGATAATTATTGTCATATATAGTCACATGTAGTAAGATATAGTAATATATAGTGACATGTAGTAACATATGCACACGATTGTGTATTTCCTCTGCATTTGTTGGTTGTGAGTTGATTTATAATGTAACTATTTAAATTGAACTTGATTTTTTGTCAAGGTTTGGTGTTTGCACAACTTATATGCACTAAGTTTTTGCCGAGAGGACATGGTGTTCTTCAATTCGAAACAACTCTTTTGCATTCGATAGATCGGAGCTGTTGTCGGGTTGAAATGTGGGATTTGAAGATATAAATCCAAATTACACTATATACGACAATGCTCATATTTACTCAAAAATAAGAAAGACTATACTCATATAGTTAGTCATATGTAGTTATATATAGTCACATATGGTCATATACATGTAGTCATATGTAGTTATATATAGTCACATATGGTCATATACATGTAGTCATATATGGTCATATGTAGTTATATATAGTCACATATGGTCATATACATGTAGTCATATGTAGTTATATATAGTCACATATGGTCATATACATGTAGTCATATATAGTCACATATAGTCATATACATGTAGTCATATATAGTCACGTGTAGTAAAATATAGTAATATATAGTTATATAAAAGCTATGCGTTTTTTCTGTCTACATTGATGTTGATGATTGTGATTTTACATTTTATTTGTTGGTGTAGATGAAGTTTTTTTTTTATATAATGGGATAAAAAGACAGTACATGACTACATATAACTGTACATGACTGTGTTATACTATAGTCATGTATAGTCAATTTCAATACATTAAATTATCAAAAATTTGAAAAAAAAAATTAAAAATATTTTTAAAAAAAATTAAAAAAAAATTAAAAATAATTAAAAAATTAAAAAAAATAAAAAAAATACAAAACAGGGTTACATATAAAAAAATAATAATAAATAAACATTTATATTTTTTTATTAAGAAAATCTATAAAAACAGTAAATGCAGGTCCAAATACTAAATGCAGGTGGCCAATGCTGAATGCAGTCAGCAAATTACTAAATCAGTAGGGCAAATATTACACAAAAGGGCGCAATTGTACTGTTGCCTCTCCAGGGGTGTATCTCAAAGAAATAATTTTAGGGGTGGACCTTTCCCCATATATTTTTCATATTAGGGGTGTATATCAAATGGACCCTAGGAATAAATGTTGTTTAGCATATTTCATTTAAATTTGTAACCCTATGTATAATATTTCACGGAAACATATTCTTTTTTTTTTCATGAAAAAAAAATAAAAAAATTGAACAAATAAAGTTAAGATATCGAACAAAAAGAAAAAAAGAAGATGATCACGTTTCTACTAGGGCCCCCAGGGGTCAATTGTTGAAATGTCACAAAGTGACAGAAAACTAACAAAAGTGGACCAACTTGAAAGGTATTTTAGAATTAGAGGCATTCTTTGGTTACCATTAATTGGTTTTTTTCCCACTCTTTTTCAAAAAATAAATTCATGTTTTTTAAGTTTTAGAAAAACAATTTCGCAAAATATTTTCAACAAAATTTCCCTCCAAACATGATTTGTTGTTTTCACTAAAAAAAAAAAAAACAAAAATACATCATTTTATTTTTATTCCTTATCCTATCCTTTAGAAATTATTCTATATGAATTGAAAGTGTCGATTACTCTTTCAACTGGTTAAACAACTTCATTGAATCGACATATAAATTCTGAAGAGAAGATGACGAGAACGAATACGAAGACTCTTATAATGATGATGATTATGTACAACATGATTATGACGACTTCAAGATGGATATTTGCAGATCTTTGATCAAAAATTAGAATTTCAATACCTATTCACTCTTAATTGATCCCAAGGAGGTTCAGTAGATTCACTATTCTCATCGATTTTCAATTAGAAATTTCAACTAGATTCACTAATTTCTCTTTATGTCACCAAAATTCTCTTATTTAAAAAAATATAGTGTATAATTAAGTAAATAAAATTGTAAATGAATACAAGTAAATCAACTTAAATGTTTCAAACCTATTATTGATTAGTAAAATACACAATGGCATAAAAAAAAGGGCACATTCTGATTAATTATTTATACACTATGTTCCCTACTCACCGAATGTTAATTTTGTCTCATCTACACTACAATTGATATATTATATCACTATGTGATATATATGATGACAACCCTATCCCTATGTATGGACTATGGACAAATAATTTGATAATACTCCTAGTCGGTGCGGCCATTGATCTGTATATTATCATGAATTGTAAAAATACAAATGTAAAAACAAAATTATGTAGCATATTTCAAGGAGTTGTCATATAACTATTACATTTTTTTTTTGTTTTCACTACATGTCCTTCTTGATAAAGATACTCTTATTTTTTTTTAAATGCATTAATTTTAAAATTTGATATAAAATGAATATTTCAAAATTTGCAAAATGAAAATATTGTAGATTTTTATATGGATTTTCCAACACATCTTGAATCAGTGTAACCGGAGTTCGTATGAGAAAATTTCGATCAAAAGAAATTAAAAACTCCGGTTACAATTCGAGATTACCAATAGGGCTTCAACATATAAGTTTTCTTTTTATTTCTCGTCATAAAAGACCCTCATGTATAATCTCGAATCGATAAAAACACTCTCGTCTTAAAGTTATTAGCAAATATACCACCTTATGTTGTCGTTTTATATATATAACACTTCTCCTTACAAACTCTGGTTGTTGATCTAAATGAAATACAATACTACCTCTAATATGTTGATTTGGGGTGGTGAAGAAGAGGGCTTTTCTTAAAATGTGAGGGATTGAAGTCAAAATATCAAAAACTTCATTTCGGGCTTATGAGAGTTTTGAGGCGAATCTGTAATTTTTAAACTATAAATAAAAGGGAATTTGAATATTTTAAGTCAAAAAATACATCTCTAGTCGCACAACTCGCCCGTGTTCAGCAGCACTATGAGCTCTCAGGGACTTTATTGACATTGACTAATTTTCATATAGGGAGTCCTTGCTAATTGTTTTAACACATGGCTTTTTTCAGCAATTAGAGATTGCACATTGGTAGTTTTTACAAAAAATCATATCCAAACAATTTTTCATAAATTATGAAACGTAAAAGCTGAAGAACGTGTCGTCGTCATTCTAAAGCCAACTTAAAGTTTTGGGGTTTTTTGCAAGAACCACCCCTCTGTAATTTCGAAGTGTCGAAAAACTCCTCGTGTTAAAAAAATTAGCAGGAACCCCCCGATAAAAATTAGTCAAAGGCGAAAAAGTCCTTGACAACATGTCGTGTGTTGTACGCGCGGCTTGTGTAACTGAGAGTGTAATTTTTAACGTGAAAAGTCAAAAATACCCTCTTAAATTCTTTTATAAATAAACATAAATTTAATTGGGTTTAAATGTAAATAATAGAAACTTTTGGATCTAATTATAATTTTCAAAATTTCTTACCCAAACAAAAATTCTACAGCCGAATTTAAAAAAATAGACTCAATGAGAAAAAAAAAATAGATCTCAATTTAACTTGTCTTCTTCCCGAATTTCCTCCTCCTACTGCCGCCCCTTTCCTCCCACCACTGGCCTTCTCCAATCTTCTCCTCCACCGACAACTTTTCTTCACCAACGCCAAGTGCTTGAATCCCCCAGCCCTCCGCCGTTCATCGGTAATGGAGGATTTTCAGCACATGCGTCCTTCAACAACATTTTTCCGGCGAGAAGAACCGGATCCGACTACGGGAGTTATTTCGGCGAGAAATAAGGGTGGGGGGCCTGGTTAAAGGTGATTCGATGTGGGCAAACATTTTCCGGCCAAATTGAACAGTAACACTTCGATTCTGGCGAGTTGTGCGGAATGATTACTGAATTTTTTTTTAAAATCTAAGGAGATGAATGTTTTGGGGAGGATTTGAGTGAAGAATTATTCAAAAAATAGGGAAAAAAAAAAAAAAAACAATAGCTCATTTTTTTTTTCACACTGTTTTTTTTTTGTAAGATTTCCTTTTTTTTAATTAGATTTTCCAGTGTGTTTGGGAAGATTGTTTTGGGTTTTGTTCGAAATTCCTTTTTTTACTTTTTCTTTTAACAATTTCATGTTTCTTTCGTAAGGGTAAATTAGTCATTGTATGTAAGTCAATAGCTAATTTTAACGAAAGGGGCAGTGTGCTTCGTATAAAACAACATAGGGGGGTTTATGCTAATTTTTTTAACACGGGGGGTTTTTTAGCCATTTGAAATTACACATGGGGTTATATGCAATTAGCTCTAAAGTTTTGCAATTACAATTTTGTCATTAATTTCACTGTTTCTGATAAAATTTTATTGTAGCACTAGTGTGAGGAGTCTAGGTGAGATCGCTAAATTTTACGAGCTCGAGTTCAATTTGATGAGCTCTAGCTCTAGTTCTCAGCCCTTTATGTTTTTTTTATTTTTTCAATTAACATTGTTCTTTAATATCACAAATTATTTGTATTATAATAAAAATTCTAAAATAACAAGCTAAGTGAAGTGAATATTTTAATGTTGTATTATTATTATTATTATTATTATTATTATTATTATCATCATCATCATCATCATCATCATCATCATTATTATTATTATTATTATTATTATTATTATTATTATTATTATTATTATTATTATTATTATTATTATTTTAATTATTATTTTAATTTTATATTATTACTATAATAAGAAAATAAAAAAATAAAAAATAGAAAAGTTCGCGAGCGAGCGAGCTCATGAACAACTAAAACTGGGCTTGAGCTCGAAACTCCCGTGCCCGAGCTCGAGCTTTTGCAGCCGGCTCATGGAGCTCACGAGCCCGCTCGGCTCATTTATACGCAGAATAAGGAGAGAAATGTATAACTTTGCAACATGAAATTTTCTTAATGAAAGCAAGGAAATGTATAATTTTTGCAGCAAGGAAATTTTTGGTAATTTATAGCATATATTGTCAATTCAATTGTCACAAATTCATCCTAGTTTTAATTGAACTATATTTTGGAGTTTCCTGATGATCTATACAGATGATGAACTGTTTCTAGTTACCAAAAAAATAAGAGATAAAATAGTAGGGAACTGAGATTAGTCCATAACACTAGAAGTAGTAGTAGTACACTTTACTACACCAATGTATATGAAGATAGAATAATCTACATGAAGTACTGATAATCAAGAGCAATACAATATACGACAAGCGATTCACATATCCGCGGGTAAATTATATATCGAACCGGATCGGATCGTATCAAAACAACAGCTCAAGCTGTTGCTATATATTAATTCAGCCTAAATAATATAGTACGAAATCACGAGTCCCGATCGATTGTTGGAGAGATCTAAATTAATTGAAAATTGGTATTATTCTTCTTCCTCTTCTTGAAATGGTTAGCAGCTGCTTTCATCACTTTAGCCCATGCCTGCAAAATGCAAATTAAACCCAAAATCACTTATATCATATCATATAATTTACTTACTTATTTTTAAACTTATAAACTCTATATTTAAATGTTTCAAATTAAAAGAAGAATAATTAAGGTACCTTTGGAGTAGGGGAGGAGGAAGAAAGCCGACGAGAAGAAGGTACCGGAGAAAAACCGAAAGACTTCCTCTTCTTCATTTTCTTCTTCCTCTTCATCGTACGGCATAAGCTGATATTATCAAGAACAACATCAGTTAGTTTCTTCTTCATTCTTACAGCCATTTTCCTCGTGTTTTCGAGCAGTCCCACTTCATCTGTTTCGTCGAACAATAGATTCCTGGAAACCTCGAGTCCCCGGCCGGAGAAATCCGCCGCCGGCGGAGGAAGCAAAGGGGACCAAATGGAGCTCTGCGCGTAGTCGAAATCGAAAGCAGAGTTGTCTGGGAATTTGCAGAGGAGATCTCTTGACATTGATGATTCAAGATACTCCACCACCATTACCAGTGGGAACGGAGCTCCGCCGCCGCCGTGGCCGACGGAGATGAGAGTCATGATGGAGACTTTTTATGTTTTTTTTTTTTGTCTGGGAAAGTTTTGTGGGGGTTTCTAATTGTGACAAGAAGAAGAAATAGCGTGGTTTGGTTTTTATGTGGTGTTGGGAGTTGTGGAAGTTGGAAAAAAAGTAGCCGTTGGCGAATTATAAATTAATTTTCGGACAGAGGACAAAACTGGAAGGAACATGCATTACATTTAATTTCATTTCATTTCATTTAATTGTTTTACTTAAATATTCTATCCGTTGTTACTGCAAGATTTGCAACAGTTATTTTCTTCCTTTTCTTTTTATTTTTCCTTTTTTTTTTTTTTGAGGAGGCAACAGTAATTAATTTCATTTGTACAATTAATTATGTGATTTTGTTAATATTTTCATTTTCATTTGGTGGTTATGGATACATATGGAATGTTGTGAATTGAAGATTTATGGTAGTGTATAAGTTGTTTATGAATTTTGTTTTTTGAAATAAGAAAAAGGGTAAATTTTAAACTAATATGGTTTTAAAAAGATAAATGTTTTTAATTTATAGGGTTAAATACAAAAACACCCACGTATTATGAACTATGTATCATATACCTCATATATTACACATACATACAAAAGGGATTTACTTTTTGGGTTCCGAAAATTGCTATTTGCAACTTATACATAATTTTTTTCCTCTCTAGAAAAAATCACTTTCGTCACTAATTTGGCATAAAATCATCTTTGTTAAAGTGATATACGAACACAAATGAGCTCATCGGGTGAAGATCCAGATACACATCACAACGAGGTAAAAATTTCGTCATTTCGTTCGAAAAATCTAGACAGAAAGAGCAAAAGCCCAACTCGGGCGCCCAAAGTTGTTTTACACGCCCAAGTTGGGCGTGTAAACCATCAATCCATGCCCAAATCGGGCGTGTGAAATGCCGGTCCACGCCCAAACCGGGCGTGTGACACAGCTTCCGGCACCCGGCTTGGGCGTCCACCCCCCCTCTCCCGGTTTTTTTTGCTTTTTCTTTTTTTATTAATTTTTTTATGTTTTTTTTCAGACAAACCAACGCAATACGAGGTAGACGTCAAGCGTGTGATATTCTAAATAGTGTTTGATTTAGTTTAATTTTATCGAATTTAATGTATTATAGTATTTTATGATGTCAAATTTAGTACTTTAGACTTTAGTATGTTGAACTTAGTACTTTAGTATTTTGAACTTAGTACTTTATTATGTTGAACTTAATATTTTTATTGGATTGACAAATCCAAAAAAAAAAGAAAAAAAAAAGAAAAAAAAAGAAAAGACCAACAATCCTGAAATGAGAAAACAGAATAAAAAAAGAAAACCAACAATCAAACATCAACAAGTGCTCGTGGTTGTTTAAAAATCATCGTCCGTTCGCCACACCGTGTAGAACTAGTTACTTTCGATTATGTCTGAGACAAATCATAGGTCCCTTCCCTTTTCCCATCTTCAATTTTTTAATCCAATTAGACATCCTGCAAATATAAGCGATATTTAAATAAGTAAAATTGAAATTAAAAAAAAAAAAAAAAAAAAAAAAAACAACACTGCTGAACGCCCAGACCGGGCCCCCATTCCCGGACCGGATGCCCGGCTGTTCACCAGTATTTTGCACGCCCAAACCGGGCGTGAAAAATGCTGGTGAACGCCCGGTTTGGGCATTCACCGAGCGCAGTTTTGACCAAAAAATAGCCATATAATTCGATTTTTAGGGCTGTTTAACATGCAATTACATCCGAAATTTCCTACCCAATGCATTAAAACGTTTAGGAGTTGAAAATAACTCAAAATTTCAATGAATTTAGCTTGATTTGGCTTCAATTCAATTTTTTTGAATTTTTTTATAGAGAGAGAAAGCTTTTTGGGGTATGAGTTGCAAATAGCAATTTTAAGACCCCAAAAAACATTTCACATACAAAACCCCCCATATCATTACATTTTTTTCAAAATATAACAAAAATACCCCTGTTAAAGCGCTTATATATATATATATATATATATATATATATATATATATATATATATATATATATATATATATATATATAAGGGTTTGTTTGAGCCATTTTACACTATATATTTCACCATTTTCAGTCAATTTTATAAGGAAATTTTGGTATTTATATTTTTTTCTCCAAAACATCTAATTGCTTAGATTATTTTTATTTTCTGAATAAAACCTTTTATTTTTGTCATTTTGAATTTCTTCATTTTTTTCTTAAATATCATCCGCTAGTTCAAACATCCTAAGATTACAAACATATTTACAATTGATTGTTGAGAATTTGAACTACGGGAAGGCATTTAAGAAAAAAATGAAGAAATTCAAATTGACAATAATAAAAAGTTTTATTCAGAAAAAAAAAATCTGAGCAATTAGATGTTTAGTAGAAAAAAATAAAAATACCAAAATTTGCCAATTAAAATTGACCGAAAATGTTAAAATATGTAGTGGAAAATTGCTCACACAAACACTGATATTTATAAGTTTTAGCATGGGTATTTTCATCAAATTTCGGAAAAAAATGTAACAGTAGGGGGTTTTGTATTTATGTGTAGTAAAGGGGATATATGATACAAAATTGATAGTACATAGGTGTTTTTGTAACTTTTTTTTATAATAATGAAAAAGTAGTTCATTTTTATTTTTTTAATATAAAAATATTTGTTTTTTTTTTACAAAGAATGGTGCTAGTACAAAATGCCGAAATCATTTGACCTAGGACCCGTCCCTTGCACCACCACCCATAGAATCTAGAAAGAGTTCTCAATAGTTTTAATAAAAAAATGTGTTCCTATGAGGAAAAGAGATTTCCGCCGCCTTAGGTTTTCAGCCGTAGGCAGTGCTTCTTCGAGCCGTAACCTTTTTTCTGTTGGTCGGAATTTAACGGTGCATCCACCATTGGATTCCTCTCTAAAAAGTCTTTCTATACGTTTTGATTTCGTTCGATTTGAATCTCTAGATCTGTTTCTGTGGGCGTTCTCCCGAAAACGTGCAGTTTGTAGTTTGGTGTATGTTCCGGTTTTGGCGACGCTTCGCAACATATCCAGATAATTGTACAACTAGAAGTCCATTAGTATGATTGGCCAGAAGATTGGGCGCCCACCCTGTTAATTCACCAATATTATTTTTTAAATTGTCATTTCACAACCTTCAATTCCACTATTCAGCACTTTTTCAAATAAATATTAAAGGGTATTTGACTAAAGTTACTATAAATATCTCATCAGTTCTAATATTTGATAAGTTGTTTTTAAGGGTGGACGAGTTTGTTACCTCTTATTTTTTTAAACATTTGAATAATATATTTATAAGTTTTTTTTACTCTTGGTGTAGATGTATGTTAAAAAAACAAATAAGAGAAAATTTCAAAAAAGTTCTAGTAGGAAAAATTTGTATCCACAAAGTCCTAAATATTTTTTGCTTATCTAAAAAGTCCTAAATCAAAATATTCCATCTAAATTAACCAAGTAGTTTAATTTCAAATATATTTTTTGATATCTATTAGTCTAGCTTGCCATTCACCAAGTACAATATATAATTAATGATATTAAAAATATAAAAAAGCATTCCTTAGAAACAATAACAATTAAGAATCTAGTCAAATTATAATATAATAATATTTTAATTTTTTAAATACAAGATTTTTTTTTCATATTTATAATGTTCTAAAATTATCAATAATATATACAATTGATTTACAAACTAACTAAAAAAAATCATAAAACTATTTACTCGATTATTGATTAGAATAGTCATTGTTTAAGAAAAATATTTAATTATACATAATTCAAGAACATCTTGTTTTCATTTTGTACACAACTTCCTAAATACAGTAAAATCTCAATAAATTAATAAGTTCGCTTAAAACACACTATATTATTAGCTTGATAATTTAATATTTCAGTAAATTAATAAAATTTTATTAGTCTAGACCGTATTAATAAATAAAATATTAATTAGGGTTTTTGTGCATAATTCTCTAACCAATCATTTTTATTACTCTAGGTTTATGGGATATATCTCTTTCGACAATAAGCTCATCCATTTAATATTACTTATAAATATAGAAAAAAATTATGTATGTGACAAAATTACTGTTGGGTGCTAAATACCCACACGCAAGTGCACGTATCGCAAACAAGTAGTAAAGTAGACTCGCGAGAGTCGGATGTCGATCCCACAGGGAATACGCAAATTATTTAATCCTAAGTACCAAATCCTAACAATTGTGATTTTTATCCAGCCTACGCAAGGTTGTCAATTTAATTAACTAAATAAATTAAACTAATTAAGAAAGCAATTAATCACGAGAAAATATCAATATGAAACGGATCTAGGATTTTATCTCCCCCCTATGCGATAATTCTTCACCCAATTAATCTCCTATCATGCAAGTTACGATTCCCGATTATTAACCCAAGACACGAAATTACTCATAACCAGCTGTCGCCGTATTATAAGCATACAGGCTTAACTTTTAAGGGTTTTTGGCACTTTGCACCCTTGAATTACACCCTTTTGGCACTTTGCACCATTAAATTGCAAAATTAGCAGATTGCACCCTTTAAATATAAATTGTTTGGCACTTTGCACCCCAAATCACTGTTGGCTTAGAAAAATTACCTGTAACATGTTGAAAACCTGAAAGATGGGCAAATTCGCAAGTCTCTAATTATCTATCCTCTTTCCCCAATTCTTAATCATTGTTCCACCATTTTTATATTTCGTCCTATTAATCAAAAAATCCTAAATTCTTCTTACCCGTTTCTATTTGCCATAATAATATGTAAATTCTGACCTAAAACTCAAGAATGGTCGGAATATATAGACAAGAGTCTGATAACACACCTTCAAAAAATCAAGTTTTATTCCATGGTAACGCTATTTTTTTTAATAATTTTGCAGATTCAAACTATTCAATGGGAGCACAAAAATCTTTGCATCATGAAAGTAATAGGCACCACCAATCTACCACCAAATAAACTTCTCAGTAGCCTTATTTTGTCCTTTGACTATTAAAAAAAAATTTGAGGGCTCGGCCTAAAATTTCCAGTTACATTATTTTTCGTACTCAAAAGAAAGAAAAAAAAAATGATTTACTATTATTATTTAGTGTTTATACCGATTTTACCATTGAAAGAAATGGCTAAAAAGATTTTAGGATTTTTTGATTGAAGGGACGAAAGATAAAAATGGTGGAACGGTGATTAAAAATTGAGGGAAGATGATAGATAATAAGAAAATTATGAATTTGTCCATCTCCCAGGTTTCCAGTAAGTTGCAGGTAATTCTTCTAAGCCAAAAGTGATTTCCAGTAAGTTGCAGGTAATTTTTCTAAGCCAAAAGTGATGTGCAAAGTGCTAAACAATTTATGTTTAACGGGTGGAATCTGCCAATTTTGTAATTTAAGGGTGCAAGTGCAAAAAACACCAGGTTTAATCATAATTTGTTATGCAACCATGCCCTTTTAGCGTCTTCTAAAACCTGTGGAAGAAAAACCCCAAAATCTGCCGGAGTCGCAAATGGCCCTACACCGAAGCACTCTCACCTTCATTTCTTCCTCTCTCTCCCGCCGTAGATGGTGGCGCCACCTATCCTCCTCCTCCGCCACCAAATCGCCTCCTCTTCTCTGGGACCACTCCAGCAGTTCCGCCTCTCCCACCTCCACCAAAGAATCGATCACCCTTCAGCTATTCTCCTGGGGCCGCGGCGCCTCCGGTCAGCTCGGCGGCGGAATCGAGGAAATTCGGATTTATCCGGCGCCCGTGGCGTCCATCTCAGTGCCGCCTAATTTCTCCCTCTCAAAAGCAACTCCAGGTCGTCTCGCCCAATGTTTGAATTCCACTGATCCCCCCCAATTGGAGATTGGGATCTCCTGCGGGCTGTTCCATTCTGGTTTGGTGGTCGATGGAAATCTCTGGATATGGGGCAAAGGAGACGGCGGCCGACTAGGGTTCGGGCATGAAAACCCAATTTTTGTTCCTACATTGAATCCTAATCTGGAATTGGATGTTACAAGTATCGCTCTTGGTGGTCTCCACTCCGTCGCACTTGATGTACTCGGCCGTGTCTTCACTTGGTCTGTATTTTTTTAATGCTCGTTTTTTACTTTATAGTTTCTAGTAAATTAGATGATCAGATAATAAACATTTCAGTTATTAGTACAGTTTTTAGCCGAAGACTATACTTCAATTGCCTTCTTTCATATCATTCTCTCCATATGATATGACACTGCTTCGTCTTTTTTTTTTGCTATCCGTATTATCTGTCTTGTTTGCGTTGATTGTCGTGTGGTTCAGGTTCAAGCCCTCTACTGTTATGGGCTTCGTTATAATCGTTGTAGTCAATCATTTTTTCTGATCCTCCACCTATTTGAATATGATGTGCATTGTCTTTCTGATGAGATAATTTAATGTGTCGATCGTATTATAAAGTACATTTTTGTTGGTCTTCAATTTTGTTTTCATGAATTTGAAGCTCTGGGAGCTCGTTTATTTTATGTTTAAATTACTTTTCACCCCGCGTAGTTTCTCATGAGCATCACAAGTCATAATATATAAAGTACCATAATTGTGACAATGCAATGCCGATAAACTATCTTTAGAATGCTTTTTCGTGTGGTAGAAATATACTTTTTTCTTTTTCTTCTTCTTTTTCTCTTTTCTTTAGTTTAAGATAAGAGCAATGAGTTCAGTTTCCCTAAGCTTTGAGTTACTCATTCTGCATCTTTTGGGCTTACATGTCTTTAAATTGTACATGTAAATCTTGGTAACCTGCAATACTGTTAACCTTAAGACATAATTGTCTAAGTATGTTCTTGATCAATCAAGCTAGCTATGTACTGATTATTAATGTATGATCTAAACTTTTGCCTTTGTCATTCTAAGAACGAGTTTATGGGTTAAAAGAACGAGTTTTGTGGTATTTACGTGAATCTAAATACATAACTTTTTTTTATGGCGCTTGTTCATGTTAGCAATATAAAATGCTCAATATAAGCTTGTCATTGTCCATGTTGAATTAAGTAATTAACAATCGAAAAAGGTTGATGGTCATATGGTCTGGTTTTAGGACATCCCTACTCCATTTGATTACTGTCATTAAGTTCGTTTTCTCTCATTCCAAATGTAGTTACGTTGTAGCGTTGGATGTTTGTTAATGAGCACATTGAGATTTTGCTATGCGTGTTCTAACTATGCCTTTGACTTGGATTTGGCAATTATTTGCAAATGTTGATACGGGTTTTTTACGAAATAAAGTCTACAGGGGTTATGGTGGATTTGGTGCTCTTGGACATTCTGTCTATCACAGAGAGCTGTTACCTAAACTGGTAGAAGGATCTTGGGATGAAGAAATATGTCATGTTGCAACCAGTGGTACACATACAGCTGCTATCACCAGATCTGGTTAGATATTTATCCTCCTTGAGATTCTTTTTTTTTTACAAGATGTTTGTAGCAGACAACTCAACTTTTATTATGTCTTTGGATCATTTGACTTGTAGAGAATGTTGAATCTTCGACTTTATTTTCTTCACTTGCTTTGCTATTCTTGTAAACATATCAAGAATTTGGCCAGACTTATTCAATTAATGTAATGGTAAAATATTGAACAAGTTCAGATGAAACTTGAAATTTATGCTAAGTGTGAGCAATAGGATAATGTGATTCAATGCAAGCTGAATTTAATCTTATTCATGCAAAATTTGACTTCCATAGAGTTTCCTGGTTTTCCGTATTTGTGCAAGAAAATAATATTAATAGCTAATTATTCTTGTAGCTGATGTTTTAATGCAGAAATGAACTTATTGAGGCTTTGGTAGTATATCGAGAAAAAATCTCTTAACTGTTAACCAATTATTTGTTATTTAAAATTTTAAATGATGTCCAGTGCACAAGTGTTGGTGGCGAATGCAGATATTGTAATTTATTTGTAGTAAGAATTAACTGTAGCACATGTAAAATACTTAAATGTGAGTTACTTGATGAGTGATTGTTAGATACCATAGAAGAAGTACAGGGTGTTACTTGCTTTCCTGGAGATAGTAGTATAATTCCAGTGGTGTGTTTGTTTAAGTATGAATATCATCTGAGTAGTATCGCTACATATTTAATATGTTTAAGTAGGGAAAAACTTTCCAATTAGGAATAGGTCATCTGTCTGTTGGTGACTTAGGGTATATGTATGTGTATGCATTCTATTACTGTATGTTTTTAGTTGTATTTCAAATATGTTAAAGTCTTTACTTTACTGTCGAGTTTGTCTAACTGGTTTATTATATATATTTCTCCCATTACATTGTGATGAAGGCAAATTGTATATTTGGGGAAGAGATGAAGGGGATGGTAGATTGGGGCTCGGTCCAGGCCGTGGTCCAGATTTTGCGGGTGGTAACAGCACACCTTCTCTAGTAAAAGCGCTCCCTGAGCCTGTCGCTGCTGTTTCATGCGGTGGCTTTTTCACAATGGCATTGACCGAGGCTGGTCAGCTTTGGAACTGGGGTGGTAAGCTCTCCATGTTATTTACTGTTCCCGTTTTTCTTTCTCCCGAAAAATCTTATTTACGAATGAAATATGCCTTTTTTGGATCGTAGACAAAATCAAATTATTCATCAATTCAATTTCCACCCTGTTTGGCTTCTATACGACTCTCGTAGTATATCTCGAAGTTTTATCTGTAACATGTTTTTTCTGCACAGCCAACTCCAATTATGAGCTTGGTAGAGGTGATAAAATTGGTGGCTGGAAACCTCAACCCGTTCCTACTCTCAAAGACGTTCGTGTAGTTCAGATAGCCAGTGGCGGATATCACTCTCTTGCTTTGACAGGTATTATATATTTATATTATCCTGAGAGAATATTTTTTAATGTTTTTTTTTTAATTGTATTTGTTTCATTTTGGTGTATGTGGTGTATTGCACCAGACAAAGGAGAAGTTCTATCGTGGGGTCATGGCGGACATGGTCAATTAGGTCATTCTTCTCTTCATAGTAGAAAAGTTCCTGAACCCGTCGAGGCCTTAGCCAACGAGAGGGTTACGTTTATTGCTTGTGGAGGTTCGTCTTCAGCAGCTATAACTGGTAAGAATAAATAAACCAATTCTATTCATCCGAACACTTTCTTATTAATATGAAACCGTTTTCAATTTATTGAATTTTTATATTTGACAGATCTTGAACCCTAACGGGAATGTTTGCCCCCTTTCTCAATATTTTTCCTCGATTGTGTTCGTTTCCCTATTTAAATTAGAATTCAACTTTTGGGCAAATTTCTTGAAAACGTATTTCACTTCTCTGAAAAAAACGATTTGAATGCCATTGTAAAAAAAAATGTTTTCACTAAATAGAAATGAACACATTTAGACGTGATTTTGGTACATGGACCTTTACTAGAAAGATAGTAAATTAGTAATATAGCATTACTTAATATTGCGAAGTTTTCCAAAAATTTTTTTCAAATTTTTGCTTGAATAGTTTTGTTAAATGGCAATTATGCAAATACGTGAAAGATAACTAAGAATATTTTTTATTTGTTGAATTGATCAGACAAGGGGAAGTTGTACATGTGGGGCCATGCAGCAGATAATCAACTTGGTGTACCTGGACTACCGGAGATGCAATCATCACCCGTTGAGGTTAATTTCCTTATGGAGGATGATGGTCTTGGGTTTCACAATGTACTCTCTGTTTCAGTTGGTGCCTCTCATGCAATGTGCCTCGTTTCAAGGTCAGGTTGCTCATAGCTTAATTATTATTATTATCTAATTACGGGTTTACGAAGAAATAAACTGCTTTAGAGAATTATTACTAGTCTTTAAAACTGAATAATTGGGGCCCCAAATATGGTAATAATCTACTACTATTTGTAACACAACAATATGTTGTATTACTAGATTTGTTGCATTCTCAGGCTTAAAATCAAGAATTCGAGATTTTGTGATAAGCTACATATTTACATTATGGTAAACTGATTATTATAGACTGGCACTAGATTCATGAACTTCAAATTCTAATTTTAGCCTTAAAATAGTAGTTTCCGTTATAAATTATAATGTTTGATTTCATCGGAAAATGTTTCGAGTGAGTTATATTGAGATTTTGTACTGCGGATCGGAATACAATAAAATTGTAGTGCAAATAAAAAGCATGTATAATTATAATTATATGTAGTGTTCCACTCTTGCCAACTTGCAATAGATGTGTTTGAAAAAGAGGGAATCCTTTGAACACACATAGATGGATGGTCCTACTCCCCATTTCGTTTTCATTACTATGTTCGTACTCTTTGTTTTTTCAATTTAATAAAAAAAGAAAAAAAAAAAAAAAAGAAACACCAAACTGCTTGCCTTTTATATCAGATAAACTTTGACATTGCCAAGAATTATTTGGGTTTAGATTAAAATTCTCTTGCAATTTTTTTTTTTTTTTTGTTTTTTGTCTGGAATCAAAATACTTCCTGTGCCTTGTCCTTACAAATATTCCACAACTTTTATTTAACAGCCTCTTTAGTAGTAAAAAGTAAAAACTGACCTATCGTTTAAGGTTTCAGCATAAAAATTAAAAAAACTAATAATTATATAATAATTTTAGGAAAATATGTATGTCATAAGAAAAAATTACCCACTTTGCTTTTTTGTATTTTTCTCTACCTGTGAGAATTAGTATTTTGGTCAAATTTAGGAGTATTAAGCGCAACTATGGAATGAAAAAATATAATTAATGCAATATTCGTATTCTAAAGTACTCCCTCCGTTCCTTTATAATTGTCGTTTTTAGCTTGTGCATAAGGATTACGAATTTCAATAAATGTTGCTTAATTTTAGAAAAATATATGTTCTTATACTAAAATGCCCTTGCCAATAATTAATGTGAGAGAGTGTTGGAGATAGTTAATAAGGGTAAAATTGATAATTACACAATTAATGCAGTATTGAAAATGTAAACTGACAGATAATATGGAATAAAAATAATTTTAAAAAGAGACAGTTATTGTGGAACAGATGGAGTATTGTATAATACAAAACAAAAAATTCTCATTAATTTTGGACGAATGGTCAATCTTAGGGGTGGAAATAGGACGGAATTGATCGAAAATACCTTTTTCGGAAATTTTCCAATTTTTTTCGAAAGTTAAAAATAGGTTCCAATTTCCATTCCAAACAAATCGGAATTTGAAAATCCATTCCAATTTCGGAATACCTCGGAATCGGCGGAATTTCGGAATTTTCGGAAATTGCATTAAGTCTTAATTTTTTGTTCCAAAATCGGAAATAATGGTAATTTTAAGATTTTATTTCCTAATGTTTTCGTAATTTTTCGAAAAAATGCAAGAATTTAAAACAAAGGTCAATAAGATGAAATGTAAACACTCGTAAAAACACACATAATCAGCTTATCAAAATAAACATAGTTCTTGCAAAACATGAATAGAAAAACAATTCAGAAATACAATATATATATATATATATATATAACAATGCATAACATTTATATTTTTTATATAACATACTATATATATATCATACATTATATATTTCGGAAATAAAATCGGATCGGAAATCGGAATTTCCAATAATTTTATACGCAATTCCAATTTCGTTCCAAAAATAATCGGAAAAATCGGAAATCGGAATGAAAAAACGGGTTCCAAATTCGGATATTTTCGGATCGGAATTGGCGGAATTCGGAAATTCCATTCCAATTTCCACCCCTAGTCAATCCTTTATCTACACATACTAAAATAAAAATAAAAAATTGTATTTTGTGGAGAGATATCACAAGTACCCCTCGTCCCGGGCCATCGCACTGAAAACTATAACCAAAATCCTGGCTACATGGAACCGCGTGAATCTAAATCACCTTCTACTAAGATCAATGTACTTGTATGTAAACCCAGAGCAATAGCATGATGAACCAAAAAGTCACCAAGTCCTATTATTTAAGAACAATGAATTAGTATTTTTATTGATAGCATTTAATCAACCGGGCAACCGCTTCGACCCGCATTAAATGTCTGGCCACTCGTTGAAGATAAAAGTACATCAAACACATATGAAGTTTTACCATGAGTCGATTGTATGGGCTCTATCAAAATTTTCTTTCCTATCGTCCCAAAATGAAGCACGACATCATTGTGAACATAAAGTCTCAGGGGTATGGAATCCCAAAAGAGGCTGGCCCAACTTAAATGAGATATGATAGCTTCCTTGTGGTAGACTCTTCCTCCATCACCTTCTCGCGAAGTTCACTGTTATAGTTAATTTTCGGTCAAACTCATAAATTTGTTATGAACGTTCAACCAATTTCAAAAGTATACAGTCAGTTTTCAGTCTATTTTCAGAAGTTCGTTGTATGTCTTGTAACAAAAATACTTAATTTTCAAAAGTTGATTGCCGATTTAATAAGTTCATTGTCAAATTTTATCAGTTAGAAGCACATGTTTAGAATCCTCTTAGTTCTACTATTTTCTAGCTTGGATAAGGTGGGCTTCTCTTGTTCTTACATCAACAGGGCCAAATTCTCGAATTCAAATCCTTGAGATTTTTTCTGTGCAAAAATAATTAAGGCTTAACGAAGTAATTCAATAAAAGTTTAAAAATAAATATATCTTGTATATATATATACACATTATCTTAATATTATACTATGTAGTGATTAAATTTGGTATCTCACTACAAAAAAAAGAAATTGTTTTAGTGACAACACCTATTTTTCATGTAGTTAGGCAAAAAGTGTTGTCACTATACTTGTCGCCAACGGGGTGTCGCTAATGCTCTATATTGACAATAAATAAGGATTAAGTGACAACAAAAAGAGGTATTATTGACAACAAAAAAATATTGTCACTTAATGTGTGCATTAAGTGACAACTTTTGTATTTGTCACAATTGAGGTGTCGCTAATGCAATTTTTTCTTGTAATGTCTTGAATGAGTAATTGAAGAAAAATGAAATAATTGCAGGGGTGAAAGTTGGAACGGGATTTTCGAATTCTGTCAATTTCGATTAAATAGTTCACGATTCAGAAATATGTTTTTTATTCCGATTCTTTCAAATTTTTTGAAAATATTTATGAAAATTTTGATTTTTTTTTTTCTTTCAAAAAGTAGGCTTATAAGATATAGTTTTTCAATTTTCACCTTCGAAGGAATCAGTCGAAAGTGTTAATACCGATCCGATCAATTCGATTTTCACCTCTAATATAAGTAAATATAATATGCATGCATAATATATTTTTTTAATATTTTTGGAGTGAGGACCGTTAAAGAAAAACTGGTAGGATGATAACAACACGTGCACACCATAATTTCACCACCGGAAATAATTATAATTATAATTGTGCATCAGCTCAAAACTTTACTTTCAGGTTCAGAGAAATTAAAAATAATATATATATAATATTAAAGTGGGACCCACAATCACCGACGGCAACAAGCATGTGCATCCCCCGCTGCTCTGCGTGCAACCATAAATGATTCTACTCCTCTCCTTTTTCTTTTTTTTTTTTCCTTTCTAATTTTAAATATTTTTATTTTATAATTTAAATATATTACACCTTATTTGTATTTACTTGGCAGATGAATACAAAAGTTATACTTATTTTATCAATATAAATTCTCTTCACGGATTGGATGTAACGGGATTCTTTTTTCTCTTTTCTTATTTAATATGGAATACTCTATTCCTTATCATTATTTTTAATAAATTATAAACTAGTAAGAACAATAAAAGAACATATATAATCGAATTTGTTCTTTAAATATTAACATAAAATTGTAAAAATATAAATAAATTCAAATAAAGAATATATGTACATGATATATCATAATCATTTGATATGTTCCTAAATTCAAGTCATATAAACAGAATAATTCTAAATGATTATTTTTTTATTAGTATAAATTATTATGTTGTATAAGTCTTGAAGTTATACTTTTATAAATTATATATTTCTTGGTTGTAAATATTATTTTTAAATCATAAATTAATTTGTTTTTGTAATTTATCAAAATAATTAATAATGGAATATGCCATCCAATCTTTGAACAAATTCCGCTAAATTAACCAAATTATACACCGAAGAACTATAATAAGATGGATTATAGGGTTGAAGGATAAAAATAAAACAATATAGACATAAATGATTAAAGCAGGACTGAATAATAAGATGATGGACTATTAGTGAGATTTGACCATCTTTGTCGAAATTATTAGTATTGTCTATTATATGAAAATAAAACTCTCTAAATATAATAACAATTATGACCAATATTTTGAGTGCAAAAAAATATATAATTTTCAATAAATATCTTATAAAGCAACCTAATAAAGGCCTATTTATATAGTATAGTGAACATGCGCGTAGGTAGTAGCATCACATTTAGTACATATATAGCCATTCAATAATAAAAGTACTTCTTCAAAGTGCATGTCCTAAGTCCTCTAGTGATATTTTTTTAAAAGAAATATTTTTTGGCCAATTATATAGCTGCATTGAGTAAATTTCGTATAATAGCTTGCAATTCATACGAGATATGTGAATCGCATTAGGTTAATTTTGGGTGACAAATTAGACCTAACGACCGTTGGTAAGAAAATTCGAATTTTCGTCAATTGGCACAATCCCACTTGCTCCAAACACTATGTGATCTCTTGCGGAACTCCAATTACATTATTACAGTTAGAAATATAGTATTTAATTAGATCAATCGCTCAATTTTGTTTTTAATCTATCAAAAAAAAAAAAAAAACATACATATATACATACAAAAAAAAGAAAAAGATTAATTTTCTGAAAACAATTATTAAAAAAACACCTACTCAGTGAAATGTTTATTTTGCTATCTCAGCCAGTTATTGAGATGTTACACTCGGTGCAATACCTCTTATTTTTTTTAATGATTAATATGGTGAAATCACTTACCATTAAATATACATACACGTGAGTGTGTGTGATTATGCACAGATCAACAGTTAATTATCAATCAGTGCATTTCGCCGACAATTAATTATCAGTCAGTGCATTTCGCCGAGTGTAGCGTCAAATAAACCATAGTTGGCTGTGCTGTAAAGGCTTCCGAACAAAACCAATTATAGACTACATTTTCTTAAATATTAATATTTGGTCGCAAAGTGGATGTATCGCTGTTGTTGTAACCAATTTATTAATTTTTCTTTTTTAGTGCAACACTTTTAATGTAGAAATTGAATCATATTAAAGAAAGATATAGTAAGTACTAAATGAAATGATGTGAAAAAGGATAAGATGACAGTAATGCATGTGGTGTTTGATTTACATTATTTTCTAAAAAAATTATAAGTTGAAATATTATAAGATATTTTTGGAGCTTTGAACATGTGTTATATATCTTATTTTACCAAATAATTATTTTCAAGTGTTTAGAGGGAAATACAAATTATTCATATTTCAAGATAATAGTGTCAAAACTAAGAAAATTGATTAATTAAAACATTATCTTATTTGAAAATAAGTTAGATTCATGATCAAATTTGGCATTATAGAATAAACTTGTTATGTAATTGATACAGTAAAAAACCAATTTAAAATCTATTTGTTTTATTTGTAAAATTAAAAATGGTAAATAAGTATCCTCTAAATGTTGATGGTTGATTGATTATTGAGATGCTACACGGAAATACATCGAGTGATTATTAAAGGCTAATGTGGTGAAATAATTTTTCACTAAATACACATATATATAATTATGTGCGGTTATATAATAATAATCACCGAATGAGTGTAGCATCAACTAAACCATGGTTGAGTTAGTATCTCAGTTAAAAAATATGATATATAAATCCTAACTAATAGAAGTGGAAAACAAAAAATACCAATAAACTATAACAAAAAATATGCATTCGAATTTTACAATCGGGTAACAAAATCAAGAAACTATAACTAGGTCTACAAAAATGGAGTTCTAGTATTTATTTTCTGGGGCAAATTACGGTCAACCCCTGAGGTATGGCCAAATTACAAAAAGACCTCTTTTATTTGGGTAATTACAGTCATCCTTCCTTTCAATATTTTTCATAAAATTTATGTAATTCGGTTATTTATCGAACCAAATCGTATATTCAGTTCGGTAAACAGTATGAAATGTTGGCGTATCGAATTTCGGTTCGGTTTTACCGATTCATATCCCTAAATTTACCTCTGAATAAGGTTTTTTCGTAAGATAATACATAGTTAAAGGGTGACTTTAATCACTCAAATACGAGGAGATTTTCGTAATTTGCCCTTATTTTCTGCAACACAAAAAATAAAACACAGGGAAAAAACTCAATGCCCTCTATTCTATACAACTTTAACACATTAAAAATCCTATGTTTCATCCCGTTACAACTCAATTATAATCTTGCCCGATTAACAATTTCACAAAAATAAATAAAAAATAAAAAAGGAGTCAACAACAAATTTATAAAATTAAAATTAAAAAAAAAAAAAAAAAAAGTATAGTGGCAATTGAATTTGAAATGAATCATCAATCCCAAGAAGTGGAGATGCTACTACTGTTGTTGCGGAATGCGGAGCACTGAGCCGCCGGTCTGGAGAGCTGGACTCCGGCGCTGGCGGGGCACGCCGCCATCCCAAGCGGCGGCGCGGACATACAATTGTAGGAGACGCAAACAGCCGCCGTGTCCGGGAGTACAGACCCCACCTCCATCGGGAATCCCGTAATGTAATTATGCTGTAGGTACAATGTTTTCATGGTCCCCGCCTCCACGCTCTCCACGTACTCCTCCGGCACCCCGCCGCTGAGGTGGTTGTTGTTCAGGAACAACGCCTCCACTCCGACCAGCGCGGTGGTCAATTCCCCTGTCAGGAAATTGTGGCTAAGATCCACCGTGGACCCCACCGCCGACGACGGCGATTGTGGGACCCCTCCTGTAAAATTGTTCCGTTGGAGGAGAATTGATGTGATGCTGATGCTTGGCCGCCGGAATAGATACTCCGGTATGGGCCCACTGAATTGGTTGGCGCTCAGGTCCAGGTACGCCAGCTCGGAGAGAGATTCCAGGCCGCCGTTGTTATCGATTCCGCCCCACATGCGGTTGTTCGCCACCGACAGGTAGCGGAGCGCCGGCGGCATGTGCGGCGGCAGAGTGCCGGAGAGGAAGTTTCTGCTGAGATCGAGATGGAGGAGGTGGTCCGGGAAGAGGCGGGGGAGTTCGCCGGAGAGTTTGTTGTTGGCTAAAACGAGGACTTTGAGGTTATTGAGAGCGGGCATGGCGGGGGGGAGTTCGCCGGAGAGGTGGTTGCGGCTGAGGTCGAGGGTGTGGAGATTCGGCAAGGAGAAAATGCCGGCGGGGATATCGCCGGTGAAGCGGTTGTTGGTGAGGGAGATGACTCTGAGGTTGTGGAGGTAGGAGAGCTGAGGGGGAATGGGTCCGGTGACAATGCCGGCGAAGAGGATGAGCTGGGTGAGCTCGGTGAGGTGGGAAACGGCGGGGGAGAGGGTTCCGGCGAGGCCGGGGGCGTCGGAGAGGCCAGTGCCGAGGGTGAGAATGGTGACGCGGGAGGTGGTGGGGGAGCAGGTGACGCCGGCGAAGGAGGAGCAGGGGTCGGCGGCGGAGGAGGAGAAGTTCCAGGAGGAGAAGAAGCGAGCGGCGGCGGAGGAGGAGGAGGGAATGTCGGTGAGGGAGTTTCTGATCTGGCGGAGGGCGGCGAAATCGATGGGGCTGATTGAGTTAACTGTGATTATGAATAGAGAGAGAAAGGAGAAGACAAGAGGTAGATACAAGAAACTCATTTTGGCCATATTTGAATTCTGATATATGTTGATGAATAATGAATCAATATACAGAGAAAGAACAAAGATTTAACAATGCAACAACAAGAAGAAGAAGATAAACTTTATTTATTTATTTTATTTATTTATCTATTTATTTATAATTTGAGTGTGGTGTGCAAATGGTCAATTTGGAGTAAAGGGATTTATTTAATATACTTTATTATTAACAGTAAAAAAATAATTTGTGAAATTTGGGGTTAAATTGAGGTTAAATAAAGTTAAGGATGAAATTGGAGCATATTAAAGTATGAGGGGTTATTTTAGTCTTTTACAAAAATCTGGACCATGTGTGGACTTATTGGTGAAGAAGTTTTTTGTCTAGATTTTTGTATATGGGTTTTATAATTACCTGTTTTATATTTTAATTCACTATTTGCTCTCCTTTCATCTCTCTACCTCTCAAGCTTTTATTTTTCAAATTGTCCCAAAGCCCGTCTTGTTGAAGCAATTTGCAAACCAAAGTTGCTGTATCGAATGAGGATCGAGGATACACATCACAATGATGTAAAAATTGTTCGTTTTTGTTCGATAAATTTTGAAAAGATGACTCACAACCAAAAGGGGCGCCCAAAAAATAATTCCAATCTCTTTCTTATGAATTTTATTTATGTTCTTACAATGGCTGAGTGGCTAAAGTTTCTTTTTTTAGGATTTTATTCGAAGCTTATGTGGGATTTGTGAGCCCAACTCTATGATTCATGCAAATATTAATTTAAGTTATTTATTCTACTTGTTTTCTTAAGTGCATAAAATTTGTCACTTTATATGTTTTACTGTTATATTGAATTTGAATCCGATGATCGGTTTAATAATTAGAATTGTGCTAGAAGAACATTTTTTGTGTTAGCATAGGAATATAGTTAATTTCCTAGGTAACTATTATTGAGATTTGTGATTAATAATCTGTTCTTGATTGAATTACGTAGGAATACAGTAATTTAGACTTGAATATTAGGATGAGATAGTTTTATATTATTCGTGGGATCGATACTTGGACTTATAATCCACTATATTACTTGTTCGATACATGCACTTGCATGTATGTATTTTCATCACCAGTTAAGCGCGCAGAAATACGATCCACGTACAGCTTGGCGTGCACACTGTCTTTGCGCACACATTTTGGACCTGGAAATGTGTGCTGGATGCCCAGTTTGGACGTGTGACCTGCCTTTTGGCGCCCCATTTTGGGTGCGTTTTTAGAATTTGGAATTTTAAATGATTATGAGAGGATTTGTGAGTATGTTGGTGAGATTTGGGCATTTGGGTGGGTTTTGGTATTTTAGAAAGAGAGATTAATGTTGTGAATAGACGGTATTCCCGTAAAAACAACAGTTTTATAAAACTCCGATAATAAAAGGTTAAGTACACTTTGCCCACGAACTTAGGTTGTTTTTGCACTTTGCGCCCAAAAAGAAATTGCATTGTTATGTCTGGACTTACTAATTTGTTGCAATAGCGACTAAAAAGTCCATTTTTGGCCGAAAAAATCTCTGAGTGGTACATGTGTGATACACAAGTGAGAATAGAGAGGTAATTTTGCCTACTCACACAGTTTAGATAAAAAAAATTATATTGATCAACCATCTTAACGATTACTTGAAACAAAAGGGGCCATGAACTTACCCCTCCATTCTCACAGGGTTTTGCTCACTCACTCGGTTTTGCTCACTCACACGGTTTATTAGACTAGTGTCTACTGCAAACGCTTATTCTTCTGAATTTTTGAAGCATTTCTAGGTTGAATTTTCCTCTATTTTTTATGTTTTTAATTCACAAAAACTCTTTGTTCTAAGTAGAAACCTCTATTCTTTTAATTCTACGACAAGTTTATGGACAAATTTTGAGTTTATATGATTTCCCCAATTTATTTAACTATAAAAGTTGAAAAACCTAAGTTAAATTTAAAACATTTCGACAACATTAAATGTTTAAATCTAAATATAATAAGAGTGAACTATAGGAAATTTTCTTTAGAACAATAAAGTTAAAGAAATGATAACTAGATGGAGGAATTAAATATTAAAGTAAAATTGAAAAAAAAAATTTACACACATTTACTAAAAATTATCATGTTATTATCATTTCAGTTAAAAATATGATTATTGCACCAAAAGGCGAAATCCTTCGCCCGAGGGCCTCATTCCTTGACCCGACAAGTATTTGATGGAGAAATGTAAATCATGGTAACTCAACGGCTCGTTAAAGTAGCGGACCCAGACCTGGTACCCACAAGGAACCAACCCTCACTGGAGTTGAAATTCTCACACTGCGGCTGCCAGGATTCGATCCTATGACATTGCACCAACTTACCACCTCAAGAACCAGTTGAGCTACACCATATAATTATTGTTTTGACAAGAACCGCTCCGCTGATTGAATTGTTGATTGATAGTTAGTTGAAAATACAATGTTACATCGGGTGAAACACACCAAGTAGATATTTATCATTCATATATATATATCCACATTGGTGTGTGTTGATCAATGCTAAAAAAAATCCATCTACTGTAACCTTCACCGATTGTAGCACAAGAATCACCTTAGTTAGACCAATTTGATTATATAGATATGAAAATACTGGAATAAAATATGTTTATTTTTAAATAAAATTGTATAATTATTTGATTGAGTATGACAAAAGATAATTTTGGACATAAAAAACTTGTTTGATTGTATATGTTGATGGTGAGATTTGTGGGGGTGGTACTTTGGGTGTGTGATGGTGTGTGTGGGGACAATACAAGGAAGGACACTGTGTGTGTGTGTGAGAGAGAGAGGAGAGAGATCTAGAGAGAGAGAGAGAGTACAGTATTTCTTCATTTTTGGTTGAAAGATCTAAAATAAGTGGAACATCTGACAAGGCATTTGGGCAATTGGCAACCACATGTAACTGCATTTTGACCATAACGGTCAATGCCTAGTCAACAGCACTCAATATTATACCAATATTTCGTTAACTAATGTATTCAATTACAATATGGATTACACTCCATTTATTATTAAAAAAAAAAAAACAATTAGCTAAAAGTCCCTCAATTATAATTTCATTAACAGCAAGTAATCTTGTGTTTAATGTTTCGATTAGAGTCGATCGTGTGTCGTTTTGACGAAATACTAGTTTATTTTTCTTAGTTCAAAGTCATCGTCTCTGAGAATAGCGTGGAACTTAACTGTACTGAGGGTAAATATACAGAGTTTAACCATACCAAAGTTAATTATAATTATGTTACCTTAACTATACTGATTTTAACTAAACTTATGTGAGGTTAACTATAGTACTCATGTTTACTATAATTAAGTGAGATTAAATACACTCATGTGAGGTTAACTACATTGATGTATGATGACCTATCCTCCTGTAGAATTTTATTAGTTTGAGGTTAATTTTATTATATTTAATTTCACCAGATTTAGTTACATTTATGCCTAGCTAATTTTGTATGTATATTTCATGGCTTTCTATTATGTCCCTGCGCTTATAACTAAGTTATACCGTTAATTAGTTATAGTTAAGGGGAAATATGCAATACACCCATCATTTAGAAAATATTTGGAACTAAACTCAATTGACTTTAAAGACTTTTCCCATAATCCAAATCGCAATCTAAACTAGTGAGACCCCCTTACCAGTCATGATAAGATTAAAGTGCCCATATTGTTTAGGTTTTTAAGTAGTACAATTTATTTCTCTATTTTATTCTCTCGCTTATTTCATTCTCTTGCTGCTCCGTCTCTCTCTCTCTTTCATTCTCTCGCCTATTTCCCTCGTTCACAGTTCTTTCTTCTTCAGATGTGTAAACCGCCGCCGTCGGAGCCAACAATACCCTTCAAACGCCACCGGCCGAAACCCATTGCAGGAGGCCCTCCTCCGCCGATGTTGGAGATCATCTTCCCCCTCGTCCAACACCACCATGGCGCCCGGTACAATTGGCGGCGGCGGCTCCCCCACCTTGTCGCCGCCTCCGTCGGGTGCGTGTCTCTACATGGAGACTCCCCTTCTCTCAACGCGGAATTCCAATATATACTATATTAATTGGTAATTTTTTTTTATTGTGTGAGAATAGATCTATTGTCGCCGTTCAACCCTTATGTGTTCGTTGTCGGAGTTAAGCTTTGTTTGAAGGTCAGAGGCTCTGCTTTAATTTTGTTGTTTTCGTAATTGGGGATGGGTTTGTAGTGTGTGTATTCACATATGTGCGTATGGGTTTTTAGAACCGAATTTTTATTGTTTCTTTTTGGGTCGTCCGAATTGGATGTGAAGGATCGTTACTGATTGAAAATTTTATATCGATTTAGAGAGTCACGTTGTGACTACTGTGTAAATCTTTTGTTCTTTTGCGTTAGTTGATATGTTAGTGTAATTTCATTGTAATTTTTTTTTTCTTTTGCGTTACTTGATATGTTAGTGTAAGTTTCAATGTGTTTGATGTGGCGGAATTGAATTCACATAATATTATGTGAAGTGCAGATTCATTCAGCAGAATTATTCACATAGTAGTCACATTCTCATGTTTTTTTGTAGTGCTGCACATCATGTCATCAACCTTGATGATTGTGTTGAAGTATGGAGGGTCGTTTGGGGTGAAGATGTGCCAGGGTGATTTTGCGTATGAAGACCCCGTCGACTCCCATCCCTCTCTCTCCTTATTTTTCTATCTTTATTTATGTATTATTCGATTTTTTTTTCCAGATCTGAACAGCAGTAGTAACATGACTGTTGACATCGAAATTGGTATTAAATTGCAAAATAATGGCCTAAATAATTTGGTTATTAATTTGGATCTCGATTAATAGTCCATAATAAATTTTGGGTTTTATATTGAAGTCCACAAAAATTGGGCTTCACAAATATATCATATGGGTTAACCCAGAATTGAGTACTAAATTCTTATTCTTGGGTTAGCTATTTGGGCTCACGAAATATGGCCCACAACAAATAGGTTGCAAGTATCCAAGTCCACTGGCCCAAGTCTCCAGTCAAAAAACCCTAAATCGAGCCTATAAAAGGAGGTATCAAACACACACAAAGACATATATACGAGGGGACAAGGACACAAGCATCAAGCAAGGCGTACATCAAGCACTCAAAAGCTCTCAAGTCTCGAGCTCTTGCCACGACGAAGAACAAAGCTCTCAAGTCTCGAGCTCTTG